AAAGGTCTTACTAAACCGCCAACCTTGACGAGTTTTTTTCCATCTTGCACGAAAACAAATTGCTCTCTTTGAACTTTTCTTCCAGAAAAAAAAACTATTCGTCCTCTCATGAAACAAGAAAGGCGCCTTCGAAAGTTTTTCTTTTACTACAGTGCCCTTTCTAATTATATACCTAAATTTGTGTTAAATTTGGGCTGTTCCTACGAAGCAACCTGCAATTTTTCCTGCATTTCTTATAGTTTTTTCCTTTCCAAAGTTTTTCTCTTCCAACCACAGTCGACAATCTATAAAACAGAAGTTTAACGATCAACTTTGAACACTTTTTCATTGCTTTAGTTAATTGGGGCATTCAACTTGCATCTGAAAAACAATTTTTGTAAAAACCTTAGGGAAATTTTTCTTGTTTTTAATTATCTTTCCTGGGATAACTTATAACTTTCAGATTGGCAAAAGTACTTTGAAAGCATTCCTTTGGCTTTTTGATATCAGAAACAACTTTCGAAAATCATTACAGGCTGAAGTTTTTTTCATATGAGAGAATAATTTGTCAATTGAAAGATTGAGAGTTTCCGGTGTAATAGTTCCTGTTTTGATTATCGAATCACCGGAACGCCACCAAGGAATGATAAGGTTGCAGGATCAAAGTCTTTATTTCTTTTTTTGTCTTTGTGAAAAAAACAAAAAAACGATAAATCAATAAGGGAGATAAAAAAAGAAAAAAATTACTTTACACCGCTATTTTTGACAGCGGTAGGGGGCAAAATCGCATTTATTTTGATTCCATCAAAACATTTGCCGGCTTACTCGGATGGGTGATAACAGAACTTGTTCTTCTGTATTCTTTCCGAAAAAAACTTGACAGGAACCCTCTTTCAAAAGAAATGGAGCTTATACTGGAGTCCAGTGCGGATATTTGCAGGTGCTGGACCAGCGGCAACGGCAAACCCGCCCAATGGTGGCAAGAGGGATCCATCATCACTCGAGGTTTCTTTTTTATCTCCTTTACAGTTAAAAGTGTTGTTTCGATTTATTTGGGAACAAATCCTTTTTTCAGGAAAGTTCTTCTACGAGTGCAGCCGCGGTCAACTGGCACCCAGAGGATGTTTCTCTGCCGACGAGAAAAAAGTCCAGATCGGACAGACGTTCCAGCAGGACGGCTACGAGTTTCTTTGCTCTCTAGGTGCGTAATCTTTTCAAATATAGGCTCAAGGCTCATTTTCAAGTTAAAACCCAACGGATTGATTATTTAATGCTCAGGGGCTGATGGCTACCTCGAATTCAAGTACAGCGGTTGCATCAGTCAAGAAGGCAAGACTTACGGCGTCGGCCAGACTTGGGCCGATCCAAAGGTGAGAAGAACTGCTACGAAACAGTCAAAACTGTCTACTACTAACATTTTCTGATTTTCGTTCAAACTTAATCAAAATTTACTGACTTGATAATTATTTCAACTCAGATCTTGAAATTATCCTGGGAAAAGGTGCAAATAACTCTATTGAGATCTAGATCAAGATTCTGAATTTTTCAACAAGTATGATGTCATAGTTTGGAAAAGAAAGGCTCAAAGTTTTTTTTATTAGACCCAGCAAAAAAATATTTCATATCACCTTTTGAGAAACTTTCGCCCGAAGATTTTCTCCTACCACGGAACTTTTGACTCCAATTTCAATGACATAAAACGGGGGAAATTGCTTTTCCAAACCGTTCACTATCAAAAAAACCTGAATTGGTTGGAAAACAGTCTAGCGAAAAAAAAAATGGGATAGATTTTCAAAGACGTTCCGCGGGGATTTTTTCATCAGACGAGACATTGTTGATAAGAAGTGATGCTGTCAATCAAGAAATTGTTGCGACAAGTTGCGATCAAAGAAAGAGATGAAAGTTTCCAAAGACTGAAGAATGAAAAAAAGCTGATAGCTGGGGTTTTTCAGAACACCTACTACTTCAAGTGCAAGGAGGACGGCCAAGTCGTGAAGAAAGTCGCCGAAGGCTGCATTGCTCACGACAAACAAAGACGCGTTCCTCTCGGGGAAACCGACGACTTCCAGGGCTACACGTTCGTTTCTTCTTCTTCTTTCTTTTGTCCGAAATTGCTCTATATTCCAAGAAAGGAAACAATTCTTTTAGTTCAGAGTCTAAATTGAGTAGAGATCTAAATAATGTAAATATCTGCATCTGTGAGCTAAAATTTTCAGATTTTTTTTACTTCACTTAACACTCATCAATCCTTTTAACAGTTCTGACTAGTGAGATTTTTCCAATGACGATAATTTCAGAAACTAAATTAAATTTTCGTTCATCTTCAATTGGAAATCCTTTCCAAATATGAAACAGTGCAATCACTTGAGTTCTGTTTTCAGAAATAGTTCTATGGAAAAATTTTCAATTATCAGGGTTTTAAAGCATTTACAATATAATGTTTCATTTTAACATGAAATTTTCCAAAAGAACTATGTTAGAGAAAACCAAAAGAGACTTTTAGGTCAAGGTTTTTCGGCTTAGCGATTAAAACTTTCTGAACAGTTAGTTTGCCTTCATCTTGAATTAAAACGGTCGGAAAGTGATCTGCTCCGTCACTTCCGCTGCCACTTCGAGCGCATCAATCTCGGCTCCCCGCGGTGTCACTGTCACGAGAGACATAGTTTAATGGCGCCAGTCGGCCGATTTTCTCACGTTCAGCGATAACAAAAACTTCTGATTTTTTCTAGTTGATACCGCGAAAAAAAAAGGATAGGGTCAAAAACTCGTTCGCTCTCACCCTCGCCGCCATATGTAATATTAAACAGCGCGGCGCCGTAAAGGGTAAAGACGAAAGATTGGACTCGGCGTTTCATTGAAACAGTCTCTCGCATACGCGCAGACGTTCTTTGTAGTTTTGTAGGTAGATGAAATATTTCAATGCTAACTTCGAATTTAAGAGATATAACTTTAGTTCAGCGGTGGAGCTTTACAGTTTAAACGAAGAATTGGTAACACATGAAGATGTGAGCATGGAAAATACACTCTAGTTGTCATTTCAAAAGGCTCGATTTCAGATACAAATGCCAAGAGAAGAGCAACGGAGTGATTCAAATGTGCAGCGTCGGATGTATCCACGAAGGAGTTCGATACGCAGTCGGACAGCAATGGCAGGCAAGCCTTAACACTCTTGAATGTTTCCATTTTGCGTCCAGTTTCTTCAAGATCTGAAACTTCTGGAAGCCTCTGAACCAAAAAATCGTTTTTCTTTCCTCCAGAAACTTCCGCTTCGCTTTTGATTGCTTGAAACCGGTTCTGCAACACATCCTTTTTATTGAACCTACTCAACGTTTTCTGTGTCCTTTTCTGGAAAACCGCAAAGAAAAAAATGAGATTGATGGGTCTTTGCGACGAGAAACCGGCAGACATCCTGACGCCTGGATTTTTCGGAAGCGCAGAAGATCAAAAATCTGTTGTTGCCAGTAAATAATGGCACCCACAGAAAAACTAAAAGATTAATGATTTAACATTGATGAGTTGAGAATATATGAACTTAGGACGGAGACTACCTCTACTACTGCAAAACGCAAGGAGGAAAATGCACAAAGCAGTGCATCGGATGCTACGCCAACGGCGACAAACTGTTCGACGGACAGCGCTACAAGAAGGACGGCACCACCTTCCAGTGCGAGGTGAGACTTCAGAAGAAGACGGAGGTCCGACCTCGCACTTTGCAGATCCGCCGCGGAATCCGACGCCATCGAGCTGTCGGCTGTGTCATCTCAGAGAACGGTAAAGAGGTGAACAAGGTGATCGGCTGCCGTTGGTACCTCCACTCCCAAGACTCCAAGATCGAGCAGACCTGCGAGACCAACGGACAGGCCACCAAGGTCGTCACCGTCGGCTGCATCTTCCGTCAGGATGTTAGTTGTTGGATCTTGAAAGAACGAATAGATTTATTTTGAAAAGTACGAAGAATCTGAGTTTTAACATATAGATATTCCATGACACAAAAGAAAAATTGCACGTTTGAGAAAATCGTTAGGCTATAAATTGTCTAAAAGAAACATTAGAAAGTAAACAATTCATTCAAATTTCCATTATCCGAGTTGAAAAACAGCGTTATAATTTTGAATCTTCATCTCCATTTTCTAGGGATTTGACCGAATCTTCCTCGAGCCTGGACGCTACACCATTTGGAACCTTCCCAAGCAACAGAAGGCCATCGGAATCGCCTGCAGAGTTCGTTTTCTAAACACTGATCAATCTCAATTTCACCATTTCAGGAGACGAGCACCGGAGCCGACCTCGAGACCTTCAACGTGGAACAGCTCGAAAGCCGCACCGTCGGCCTCAAGTACGACACTCCGCGCGGCAAATAAAGCTCCTCAGCGATACTCACTACAACCGATTGAGCTTTCAATTTGTGTCCTAGAGTTGCTCTGTCGTCATTTACGTGTATTACCGGTGTTCCCCTTAATAATGTTGATTATTGGTTGTAAAAATATAATGATGAGGATTTAATAAACGTTTTTGAACTAAAAGCATTTCTTTTCAATGAAAATATCGTTGAAGCAAATTTTACTAAAAACTATCTGAATAGTAACCGATTCGAATAAATTCCAATCATTAAAATCATTATACCGAATTTTTCAGAACTTTTCCGGAGTAGGTATCGTAACATAATTTCTGCAATCTTTTCCAACAGTGTAGGAACGGCGTGCATTTTTTTCTACGCGCAATTATCAAAGTTTGAAATTTTTTTCATTAATTTCTTAAATATTTCATGAAAACTCTTCATTGGCTTTTTCAGTCGACTCTCAGGTTGAATAAAGGAGTGATATAACCATGCTTCTTATTTTTTTTAGCCACTAGAACAATTTCTAGCCTGCTCGAATGCTTATAGTTTTCATTTTCTCGCTTCTGTCCACTCTACATGTCGAAAATAAATTATAATTCGATTGGAATATAAATATTTCTTTGAGAGTTTCACGTCTTTTGAAATTTTTTTTTTGATTAATGAAGACGTCCGGAAATTTTTTTAGGTACAAAAATGGAAGAGCCATCAGAAGAGATTGAAGAGCAAGAGTATATACCCAGAAAGAGAGAGAAAATCAAGGTATTTCCAATTATAAATAATAACTCGACTTTAAAAAAAAAGTTTTTTTTTCAGGAGCTCTCATTCAACGAAAGAGTTGCTCTTATTGGCGGGGACCATACTAAATTCAATCGGAGGTTGCTTTTTTTCCAATGGAAATTTTCTTATTCAAGAGAACTTCAGGTTTAATGTTGAATCAACATCGGAGACGAATTTCCAAGAAGCTCTGGAAAAATGGATGGATCAAGATCAAGGAGCGGATTTTGGTATTCCCTCTTTTCAAGTAAAATAAAAGTGAATTGATCATTTTAGAAGAGTTCCTTTTTTCGATTCCTCGTAAGGAACTCACGACATATGCTCAACTGCTACACCATTCTGACAAAGTTTTTGACGCAATTACACAAACTCTCGGGAAAAAGGTGAGTTTTTGAACTCGGCAAGAAATTCAATCTGAAAATTTCAATATTTTCAGGGGTGCAAATCGATCCCGGCGCTTTGCGAAGTTTTAACAGCTTTTGCTCGGGATCTGCGAGAAGAATTTTTCAAGCATATGTGGAAATCGCTAGAAGTTCTTATCAATGTCATTGGTGAGTCGAAGCTTTGACGAAATGGGAAAACTCGAAGATTTTGAAGATTTGGGCGAACGAGATGGAGACAGCATGGAAGCCGCTTTCATTGCTCTGACCACTTTAGTGAAGTTATTGGCCGGAAAGCTTTGCAAGCAAATCAAGACTGCTTTCACGTCAGTTTTCTCTTCGAATTTCGCTTAGTTTTCTCGAATATTTCAAAATTTCATAGCTGGTCAAGAACATTTTTCAAATCCTAACACTCACTAATTTTCAAAAAAAGAGATTTGTTTTATTGTTAATATTCGTTTAACTTGAATTTAGCAGAGAATTGCAGAAATTTTCTGCCACTTTTTGCCAGTAGTCGTCCTTTCGCAAGAAGATTCGCTGCAGAATCTTTCGCTTATCTCATCCGAAAACTCAACGATTTGCGGCCTATCGTTCAGTTCATTGTGAAGCAGACGTTGAAGGTAAAAATCTCATCAGATTTCGATATGAGTTCCAATATTTTTTATTTCGAAAGTTGTTCTCGTTTTTGAAATCTATTTTGGATCTCTGGCTTGTTCATGATTCTTATTTCTTTCTTTAATTGCTTGATATATTGGAATTGATGGATTCTTTTCAGACGAGACACGAGTACCTATCGGATGGCCTTGCGATGCTTTTCCACAACGTTTTCATCGGAATGTCTGGCGGGTTTCACAGTTCTGCGCCGGATGTCCGTTTTTTTTACCTCTAAGATATTCTTTCCGAGAAAAGGCTTCCTTGAAAGCTCCATGTCTCAGGAAAATTCCATCATGAAGTCCGTCTTTTCAGCTTTTACGGAATATCGTCACCGCAGTAGTTTACAATGGGCCGGAAGCCGACGTTGATCACGATGAACTAATCGAATATTCTGTAGAGGTCTGAAGGATCTTCATTTCTTGATTCCAATAATGTTTCTCGCAGATCCTTATTCAAACTGTGAACTACACGTCCGCGTATGCGAAGAAGTCGAAAAGTCCAGATCGCCTCTTTTTTCAGCAAGTTATAACGGTTAGTTTCCTTGAAACAGTCAATTTATTCTTTCTTTTTCTCTTTTCTAGAACAATTGAGAACTCATAGCTTTATAATAAATGGAAATTCCAAAAAAAAAACGTTTGAAAAAAGTGATAGATACTTGTGAAATAGTTCGATAAAGTGAAATTAGTTTGGATAATCCCACACCAGAAAACGTTTTTTTTTTAGAGATATTCTCTGATATGTAATATGTTGTAGAAACTTCTCGGAGAAGCGAAAAACATGGAAATCGCGACGTCGCTGATGCGACTCGTGCAGTCGTGCCTCGCCGAGGAAGCGGCGATGAACGTCGTGGCCAAGCGCCAGAAACGGAAGGAGTCGGCCAAGCGGAAGGCCTCTCAGAAACGTGCAACCGACCTTCCGCTGGACTTCGCCTTTGCCGATGACTTGCGCGCATCGCTCAACGCTGTCGTCGCCCTTGGCGACTTCGCTCTGAACGAAACCGCTGTCGAACTTTTCGCTAAGGTATTTCATTGGAAAAGTTGATTCTGCGATTTTTTTTTAACCTATTCTGAGTTCTAGAATATGAATATTGAAATTCTTGATGAGTCATGTATTTTTTCTTAGTTTTCCTTTTCCAGGCGCTCACGAATGTGTTTAACAACGACTTGAGTCGCCTTTTCGCCAAGAATTTCGCCCTGGCAGTCGTTGAAAAATCAACTGATTTTTACTCGGCAAGTTTTCCTTCATTAACCCCCAACAAGTTCAAGCTTTTGTCTTCGTAACTCTGTTTCTTCAGGTTATCAACTTGCTTCTGAAAACGACGGAGCTCGAATCGTTTGACTTGTACCTGATGCCAGCCCTCGGAAAAGTTGCGCAGGCCGTTCTTGAGGTATCAAAATGTCTCACATTTTTGTCAAATATAACACCTCTTTTCACTCTAAGATTTTAGGTAAAAATTATTTGGCCATATTTATCAGACCTTTCGTTTCTTTCTTTCAAGAACTTTCTTGCAGAAAGAGAATGAAGATGAAGTTTTGGTCCGCCAAGTTTGGAGATTCTACGCTTACCTGTGCTCCAGAAGGAAGCCTATTGAAGAAACTTTGGGCAGAGGTTGGGGAATCTCGAAATTAGAACGAAAAATCAAAAATTTAGGAACTGATCGGTCAAACTTTTTCGACCTTTTCCCACATCAAGCCTCTAGAAAATGGATTTTAGAAAAATTGAATGGTTTTTTCTTCATTTCAATAGAGCAATTCTGATTCTAAACAGGAAACTTGAAAGAACTGAGGGAACACGACGAGGAACTTTTTTTGAATCTTCTCATCGCCTGGCCCTGGATTTTCCCTTCTGCAGAAGTCAGCCAAGGTAACTTTCTTTGCAGTTTTTTTCAGTATTTGTGAAATCACTCCAAATTATCTCGGATATAAAAGACAACTCCAAGCATTGAATCAAAAACTGAATCAAAACTTTCATCATTACAATAACTAGTATGGTCTTTTTGTTGTCATAAATGTAACTTTCAGCTTCGAAAGCAGTTTTGGACTTTGTCAAGACCGAAATCGGGACAAAACGGGAAGAAATATCCAGCGGCCAGCTTGTTTTGGTTGCTTTCGCTGGAATTTTCTCGGTTTCCCGCCAACTTTTGCTCGAAATCGATCTGGAAACACTCTCTTCTTTTGTGAAGTTTGTGGCCAAGATGATTTTCTCTCAGGAATAAGTTTTTTCTTAGAGTTCAGCAGTGTCGAGAGTCGTCGTTGCTCGCTTTGGAGCTGTATTTTGAAGTGCTGGGGTCTTCATCAGATCCTGAACTAATGGATAGGTGAGATTATTGGAACTTTCTTTAGAGGTTTTTGAGAAATAAAATGATATTAGAAAAACTTCTCCATAGCTATTCTTCAAAAACTTCAATGGAGCAATTTTCAACTTACTGAAAAATGAGTTTTATCTCTCAGAGTGGCTCAGTTGCTGACGCCGGCTTTGATGAGCCCCACGGACAACGCGAGGAAAACCGCGTTGCGGATTCTCAGTTCTTTCCACGTTCCTTTGGAGAATCCTGAAGTTCCTTCGGGTGAAAAGATGGCATCTGTTAGTGAAGTTATTTTTTATTGCTAAAAATTCATAGATAATGTAAACAAGATGAAAAAAAAGGTCGAAAACTGGGTATTATTTCTTGTTTGAAACTACCGTATTGAAACCTTGAAATAGTGTTTTAAAATATCATCTTTATTATTTTCTAGAAATCGACGCCCACCTTGTTCCAAGTGCTCTCAGCGGCGGAAAATTGCGAGCTGACCAATTTCCGAGAACGACTGCTTCACTTGAGAAAACTTCGATTCGGGGAACACCGCAGACATATGCCCGAGAGCAGAGAAAAGCAGTATCAACATGTCGGAAGACTCATTTTCCAGTAGTTGATATCCTTTTTCCAGTTGATTGTCCGCGTTTGCGTCTCGCAGTTCTTCGTGCAGTTCACGCCTCTGTGGAAAGGACTCCATGAGGTTCTGGGGACTTTTGCCCGCGGAATGGACATCGACCTCTTCTGGTCGACTATGAATGATTGCATCGATAATATCACTAAAAGTAGGAAACCTCGGATGTTGGGGTATTTCTTGTGATCTTCTTGCTGAAAAAAAAGACACAGAAAAATCACATCATTTTTTTGTAACGAAGATCTGCTTTAATTTGTTCCTTTAGGTCATCAAGTACTACACGTCTTTGAAGATCTTAAAAATAGGCGTTAATTTCTGACATATTGGTTTAAACGCTTTAAACAAAACATTTTGATTCAGAAGTTTTATCAATAAAAGTTGATTTTTCGAAATTCTTCCATTTAGTTTTCCAAACGTCCTTATCAATGTCGCGTTTCAGAAATCGACGCGAAGGAAGATTCTGTGGGTTCCAGCATCCTCTCTGGTCTATCTCATGTCGACGAAATCAGTCGTTCAGATTATGTGAACGCCAGGGTTCAGGTAGAGTCCACGACCGACCGGAATGTTTTAATACTTTATAATTTTAGCTTTTCGCCTTTTTTGCCGCGATTCCTGAAATCGCCGAGCGAAGGACTCGGATCCTCGCACCAGTTTTGCTGAAGTTGTACAGGTTCTCTTCTAATAATTTATCCTGATTTTTTGATTTTTTACAGAGAAGAGTTTGTACCACTCACCGAGAGCCGGTCCAAAGGAAGGAAAGTCGGAAAGAGCGCCGAAAGAGAGGAAGAAGAAGAAGAAGAAGAAGAAGCGGAAGAGCATGAAGAAGAAGAAGAGGAGGAGAGAACGAGTAAAGGGGGCAGGAGCAAGCAAGAGTTCGTCGACGCCGTCAAGGTCCTTTCTGCTGAAAATACTTTCGGGGATTTATTTCGAAATGTTTCGATATTGAGAAAAAAGGTAGGAGATTCAGGCTCTCAACTCGTTGCTCAGAGTGTTTTCCAAGTTCGGCGATGGAAGGTCCGTCTATATGGAATCGAAATTGCGTGAAATTTACAACGAGGTAGAAATCCCTATTGAAATTTTAATAATTTTTTGTTTCCAGTTGCTCCAAAGCAGCTGTGAAAGTTTACAACAGAGCGCTTTTTGAGTGCATTTTTGACGTACAAAGACAAATTGCTCACGAAAATATAGGTTTTTATAAAAAAATTACAATTTTTTATTTTTCATTTTTTTCAGTAAGCATATTCAACAGATTTTTGAACGAGAAAACGATCCGAGAAGGTTTGATCAATCTCAAGGTATGACTATCAATTTTTTTTTTCCTTTTTTTTTCGAATTCTTTTCTTCAGATTTCGGAGGACGAAGAAGATGCGGTGGTTTTGGATGAACACAGATCTTCGGTCATTCCTGTCCTTTTGAGGTAAAAAAAAATCTTTAAAAAAATACTTTGTGATTTTAATTTTACAGAGTTTTGAATGGAAAGCTGAACATCCGCGAAACGAAAAAAGGCGCCGTTTCGAGGAGAAACGGCATTTTGCGCACGATTTCCGGCTGCAGACCCAACGAATTGAGCTTTTTCTTCGATTTGCATTTCGAGAAGCTCTACAAAATCATTGGTTTGTTTCAAGTTTCAATTTCATGAATAACCGAACTGCAACAAAAAAATTTCACATATCGCTTGTTAATTTCAGTATTTTTATTCTTCTAATGCTATGAATTTTTTTAATGTGTGATATTGAATTTTTCAGGCCGAACAGCTACTTTTGCGGAGATCGCTGAGAAATGTCGAGCCGATGAATTTTTGTCATCTTTCCGTCCGCAGATGATCACAAGGTATCTTTTATTCCATATTAGAAAATAACCGTAGGAATTGAAGCGGGGAAAGACACGTATTATTAAGTGAGCGATTCAGGCAGTTCGGTCCTACTGAGTGAACAAGTGTAGGATAAATATAATCACTGGTATTTTGAGAACGTCAAAAAAGTTCGTGTTGTTATGACAGTCTCCTTCCAACGCAAATACTTTTTCGACAAGATTCGACGGTTTTCTGTGGAAAAGCGCGGCTGTGGACTCTTCTGGGGTGCAGAAAACTTGGTCGAAGTCGTAAGATTTTGAAGTTGAAGAAAGGAATGACGTCACGCGCATGTAGTCGCCGGCCCATCTCATTGAGCAATTGCAGTTGATCGGATTGTCCTGCAAAGAATTCTTCTTGGCTTTCCTTTTTTCTGGTTACCCTCAGCTCAATAGACTGTAAAATTGTGCCGTGCTGGTTGACGACAGGCGGAATCGTGCTTCTGAATGGATTGACGGACGTAAGCTTGTTGTTGACAAGGCTGAACTTTTCTCCGATTACGCGAAAATGGCGTATTTTGAACCTGAGTGAAAGAAGAGAGATTCCAGTAAGAGTGTCGAAAATCAGGGGAGCCCAGTGAGCCACGGATGTGCCTTCCAGAGAAATGTGCACTCGATAGCCTCGGATGTTGGCGAAAGCTCCGACGTCGATCTGAACTTCTTTTCTATTCTTTATACGATCCCTGACTGTGCAGCTGAGGAGCGTTTTCTTTAACAAAAAAGGGTGTTATTTGCGAAGAGCTGCCCAAAAACGTAATTTTTAATTTTTGAAAAGGTTTTCTTGTGAGCAGTGAAGCCAAAAATCAGTAAAAGGATGCCGGAATATACTTACTTGTGTTTTTTTTTTGAGAATCTAGTTCGGAGAACGGAACTTTGCATACCGATGTGAGATTCTTGCCAGTGATGGCCAGCTGACGGAGTAAGCGCGTGTCGGCTGCAACCAACTGATGATCTAGTCTGTCCTGCTTGATCTCTATGTGCAGGCTGTGCAAGGGAGGAAGGTGATAAAGAATCCGAGCGACGTCGAAAGGTTTAGCTTCGTTGGGAATGTCGTACAGCTATGTATTCGCCTTTTTTACTCAAGTTCAATCAAGCTTACTTGTAAATTCTTTAAGTTGTTAAGCTGTGCGAATGTGTGAGCTTCGGGTAGTCGAAGCAATGCAGGCATTTTGGAGATGTGTAAGGTTTCCAGCTGAAACTCGGAGTTGAACGTGGTCTTGAGAAGAGCGCACCTGATATAGCCTGTCGATGTGCTCATCATGGATATGAGAAATGGGGTTAGCACTGATGTTCAGATTTTTGAGGTGCAAAAGTTGTTGGAAGACGTCGGGCTCGATAACTTTCACATTATTGTAAGACATGTCAAGAGAGACTAGTTTTGCCAGCGGAGCCATGTCGCGATCACTCATCTCGTAAATTTTGTTGCTGAGAGTTTTTATAGCATGATAGTACACAATACTACTCACTGGCTGATATTGAGCGACTGTAAAGATCTGTGGCTGAACTTTGGTATTGAGAAAAGGCCTGTGTTGGCGACGTTCACGCTGATTATTGAATGACTCAGATCCTACAAAACCACAGAAATGTGGTATTTCCACTCTGACTTACTCTGAAGGCTGTAGGGCTCCATGATGTGACTGGATTGTTCGATAAGTCCAAGGTTTTCAAACTGGTCAAGTGCTCAAAAGCGCCTTCTTCAACTGAGTCTACTCGATTTTGTGCAAAGGACAGGTAGGTCAGGTTTTTGAATCCCGTCAGCTGACTTGATTCGACGATTCTGAAATTCTTATAGACTTTCCTTCCTTTCAAGTTCAGTACCTAGAATAAATCTTGATCGTTTTCGGAATTTAAAAAAAATTGCACGAAAAAGCGCCGGTTATAGGTTTGCAAATGTTTTCCGCTCACTTGATTTTGTTGGAGGATAAATCGAGGCGATTCAACGCCGAATTAGTTGTAGAAAGGGCTTCGATAGGAACTCGCGACAATTTGTTGCCAGCCGCGAGTAACTCGAGCACGTTATTTTTGCCAAAAGTTCCTTGGTGGAGGAATAGAATGTCATTGTGTGATATGTCGAGAACGTGTAGCGTTTGCTGCCAATTATTTTTCAATTATTTTCACGCGAGTTCACTTCCTACCTGATAGATGAAAGTTCCTTTCCATAGATTTCGAATGTAGTTGTGCGCTATGCTTATTGCGGCCAGTTTTCGGCATTCAGAGAAAGCGTCGTTCTCAACTTCAATCAAACCGTTGTGAGAAAGATCAACCTCTTCAATTTCGGTCGCATCTGAAACCCATGCGTGAATATTTCTCTCAATGGATTGGAATTATTGCCTTGTAAAAGTTTCCTGCCAATTTTCTCCATCCGATTTGATGCTAAGTTCAGCTTTCTAATGCTCCTCGCGATGCAGGTTATGTCAACACTAAAAATTCCAATAACAACAAATTTGCTTTCGGAAATGCTCACTGATGAATAGAGTTCTTTTCCAAATCAAGGTGATAGAGCTGTGATATGCTGCCCAAATATTCACAACTGAACTCTCTCAAAGCGTTGTTAGATAGGTGCAAAGAATGAAGTCCTGTCGTGCCTCTGAACAAGAAATCATTTATATTCTGTCTCGGGGAATGCAAACCGGAAAGCGTCTCTGTCTATTTCGACGAGGTTGTTGTGTTGAAGATAGAGAACGTCTAATGCAGGAAGCTGGTGGAAAGCACTTGGAAGAATTTTGACGATTTTATTGTGAGACAAATCGAGATAACGCAAGTTTCGAAGGTTAGAAAAAACCTGAAAAGTTGATTAGATAGGTCAAACCGTGTATTGGATTATAAACCATTGCAGAAAGCGTTCTTAGATGGTTATTGTTCAGTCTCAATTGTTGCAAGTTTTCCAGATCTTGGAAAGCTCGATTTGAGATGGTATTTATCCGGTTGTGAGCCAAATTTAGAGATTTCAGTTCTCGCGAACTGCTTGCACTGAACATCTAAAATGCCTTCTTTTCTTCATTCTGTAGAAATTGAATGAATCTGACGTTTTCGGTGATGACTTCCATTTTGTTGGCGGCTAGAGATAGATGCTGAAGTCGTGGCAGGTCGGCTAGAGAGAAGTTGTCCATTTTCGCGATTTCGTTATTGTCCAACATGAGATGCCTTAGCTTCTCTAACCGATAAACAGAGGAAGCGGGAAAGTTTTTGAGGCGGTTGTTCTAAATTTAGTCCTTCTGAAAAATTGTTTTTTTTTCTCGGTTACCTGCAAAAATAGGCTCTCTAATCCCTTGAGTTTCTCAAAAACTCTCGACGCTAGAAGCTCTATTTTGTTGAATGACAGATCCAAATAGGTCAATGAACTGATTTGTCCAAAAACGTTTGGATCAGTGATGTTTCGAATTTTATTTCCTGCCAGATTGAGTCTGGTCAAACTGGTATCTGCTCCTGTAGCCGTGTCAAAAGAGTTCTGAAGAAAGTTTTTCATCAATCTTTTTCTTAACAGCTTACTCTTTCCAGCGAATGGATTCTGTTTTTCGATATGTCCAAATGCTCGAGTTTCTGCATGCCAGAAAGAGCGCTGTTTGGGATATGTCGCAAGTGGTTGTTGGCTATCAGAAGCTCAGTCAGGGAACCTTTTGAGCCGGAAAGAACACCGCTATCGATTCTGAATTTAACTTTTTTTTCTTAGCGATACTTTCTATACTTGTTGAGCTTGTTGCCGTTGAGATTCACGTGTGTTAGGTTGTACAAATCCCTGAGACCGTCTGGCATTGCATGAATGACGTTTTCTTCCAAGTTCAAGTGCGTCAAAGTTTTGGCGAAGTTTTTCAAAACGCCTCGAGGCAAATGTGCCACGTGGTTATAGCTGAGGTCGAGGATCTTCAGCTGGCTGACAGTCTCGAATGCCGATTCATCAATCGCCGAGATCTATAAGCAACTATTCAATTTTCAATAAAATTTTGACCAACCTGGTTATAGCTCAAATCAAGTTCTTTGATTTTTCGGAAGCTACGGAACGATGAGCTATCAAGGCGTCGAATTTTGTTGTTCCGCAATACGACCTTTATTTCAGACTTGAAAACTACCTGCAGCGGAAATGGATCTTATTTCTCGTGTTCAATTCTTTCGTAGGCCAACCTCAGGGTCATTGACCAACACTGTGATGTTGTTGCCCTCTAAGTCCAACGACTGAAGATTTTTGAGATCGTTTAGTGCCAAATAGGGGATCTTAAAAGAATTTCAAGACGCCTCTCTTTTTTATCACCTGTGTCAAGACGTTATTCCGCAGGTCGATGAAATTTAGAGTAGCTGGCAGCGACATTTTATGAATTTCACTGATCCTGTTGTTTGACATCGTGAGAACAATCAGTCGCAATCGGTGAAAAGCGAGATTCGGAATAACTTTCAACTAAAAATAACCCTTTTCCTAACAATAATTCAGATGATACCTGGTTGTGATCCAAATGTAGAAATTGCAAGTTGTTGAGTTGCGTCTCATCGAAAGTGTTTGAACGGACAGTGTCGATTCTGTTGTTTTGGAGGTGCAGGAATTGCAAATTGTGCAAATAAGTGAGCGCCCAAGTGGGTATAACGGACATGTTGTTGTTTGACAAATCGAGTTGAGTCAGTTTCATCTGAAAAACGATGAAGCTTGGTAAAGTTATATGGAATACCTCGAGTCCTCGGAACGCATTGACGTTGACGGTCTGGATCTGGTTGTTTGAGAAGTCAAGGGCCTGGATGTCGTGGTGCTTGAAGGCGTCCTGCTGGATGAACGCCAAGGATCCGTCGGTCATCGACAGCGCCACGATGTGAGGAGGTGGCGGCGGCGCGTTGTCGACGTTGGGCAACGGAGCAATCGTCGCCGACGAGGAATGACGACACATGACGTGCAGAGGCATCGATGACGTCATGTACTGATCGTCCAGCGACTTGACGACGTTCGGAACCGCGACGCATCGGCAGTGGGCCCAGGCATCGTGCAAGTCGCCTGCGAAGCTGAAATATATGGTTGATGAGGCTTTGATTGAACTTGAAGAAATTCCATTGATTTGCGAATGAGAAAGAAGAATTTTTGAGGATCCACACTCCTGGATCCATATTATTGTTGATTGTATTTGATAAAGTCAAAAAAGAAGCAAGTTTCTAAGGTAGTTAAGAATAAATAATCAGTCCCAAAGTAAACGGAGAAAGGAATGATGAATGTCTTTATGAAACATATTTTCTTCTTATAAATGCAACAATAAAAGTAATCAATCAAATTGTCTTTTTTTAGTTTATTTCTCAGTTGTTTGCACGAAGCGTCCTATGGAAGTGAATACAGAATGAGCTTCAGAACGGTACTCATTTCAAACCCAGTTTTCCGTGCTCTAGGTTCTTCAAACTTTCCTCGTTTCGAAATTTTTTCTTGTTAACTACTTCCCTGAAACTGACTCAAGGCATGCTCGTGTGGGTTGCCCACTCTAGACTTCTGGGAATCGAAAGTCATTTACATTAGCTTTTTTCGATACCTCAATAATTTCACTCTGATGAGAGAATAAACTCACTCGCAATTGTTTTCGATCGACCTTTTGAGACTGCGCGTTGATTTTGCACTACTAAATAATAAAAATAGCACGAAAACGTAAATTTTTGATTCGTTTGCCATTGCAAGAGTTTCTTCACATTTTGCACCAACTTTCCTCTGAAAAAAACTAAGATTATTCAACTGAAAAACAAAACACGACGTGCAGCGAACGGAGAGTCATAATGAAAAACGACAAGTGTCTTTGTCACTCAAGACAAAAAAAAATAACAACAAGGACAAGTCGGTTGGAGCGAGAGAGTCGGACGGAGCAAGGCCAATGGGAACAGTTGGCACCACCTTTCGAGCTCCGAAATGTAACACGCCGGCGTCGCTCATGTATCAGAGCCAGTAATTGTCAGGCTCGTATAATCTATTTATTTCCTTCGGAATCTGCATGATGACCGTGGGACGCGAAAAAACGGCGGCGTTTGTGAAGAGGGCTTTACACCTTGTAGTGATCGTTTGCAAGGTGAAGAGGAACTTTGGAGCTGGGGAGAGTGGTTTATGTGCTGTATGTCGTCTTTTGAGACAGAGTTTGAGATTTTCCAAGTTATGAAAAGTTGTGTTGAATTTTAGAATAAAAGATGAAAGAATTCTTGTTTTTATTAATCTCCAAATCTTGCTCACTTTTAACTTTATTAATCAAGTATTCAATTTTTGAGAGAAATTTTTTTGGAGGGTCACAAATTTCTTTAAAAAAAATAAGTGATACATGTGGAGAAAACAGTTCAGATTGAAAAAGGAACGGTAGACTGAAAATTAAAAAAAAAATTTCGTAGTTTTTTTCTTTACGTTTGACCTGGAGCTCAAAATCGTCCTCAAAAAGTTGGACAGAAATCCGAGTGGCATCGAGTTCATGGTGAAGCTAAAATGAGAAACATGTAAAGAGGACATCTCCAGTGAGTAACAAGGAATAAGCGAGAAGGACTTCTCCGAAGAAAGTTTATGCTTGGCTATCTGGCCTCATGGTAATGGGATACGCGAGCTTCTGACCAGCAGGGCGGGTTCTTTTTGTCTGTTTGTCTATGGGGACACGTGCGTCGGCAACTTTTGCAATATAAGTGTTTAGGTTATGGACATGTGTGGATCCTGGATGGAGGAGATGACGTCGATATATTCATATAGAGTCACCGAGTATTTTCTCTTTTTGTCAGCACAATTATGAAGTTTTTGACAACTCTTAAAAGCTTCCAAAAGTGGTTCTCATTTAACTCTTTGAGTTTTATTAACAAGGTCAAAAAGTGAGAAGTTCAAGTACTTTAGAGTTTTAGAGTTTAAAAGGGATGCTAAATAATTATATATTAAAATTTTTCCATTTTTCTTTTTGTGAAGTTATTTGACGGCGCACTATATATTTCCAACGTTTAGTTTCTGATTAATTTTCAGGGTAAAAAGTCATTAGAGACCCGCAACAGTAGCGCGTCTTCTTTTAAAATCTGTTGTTTTTTCTATCATAATTATTTTTTTGTTTCTCTCCAAGGACTTGTTAGCCCAAAAGCGCCGAAAAGATCGGACTTGAAAAAATGAGCACAAGAAAGAGCTGTCAACAGTTAACTCGAGAGTAACGAATGGTGTCGAGCCAAGGTGAGTGACAACGGCGACTGCGCGATGCAATCCGGCGACTCTGTCAATCATATATCACCCTCGCCGCTCGCCATTTATTATATAAAACGCAAACTTCTGTGACTCCTGACACTTTAGTGGTACCAAGGAGACAGGCTGGTTGTAATGGAGACGAGAAATATATAAATTAAGTGAAAGGGCGTCTTTTCCGTGGATGGGATTTCTGCGAAGGTCATAAATGACTCGCGAAGAGCTCTAGCCAAGCGAAAAGCGACAATGTGTGCGTCTACGCGTGATTATGAATTAAGGAAGTCGCGAACTAATTGCGGGGTTCGGCGCTGTTTATGGAAGAGGAAGGAGTCGAGGTGTTGAACGGAAAGGCAACGATTTCACGTATTTCCTTGACACAATTTGAATATTCATGAGGCTGCGTTATTCAAAAATTACGTAATAAACCACACTATGAGCTTGGTATTTTCAACTCAGACGAGAGGAAAATCAAATAGCTGGATGTTATTTGAATGAAAAACTCCAAACGGAGAAGAGGCTGATTGCACCCATTTTTGTGGAGATGCGTCTGAGGTCTTGTGTCGTTTTTTTTATTTTTGGGTGCTCCGCCCCCTCAGTGACACTCGAAAGCTGGCCTCTTCCAAGGTCCTTTTGGAGGTTTTTTTTTCGGATATTGGGAGGAATAAGCAGCCAAGTTTCTCCAGATGGAGTTGCTATCGCTTCAATCGAGTTTGCGCACATTTATAAAGTTTGGAGAATGTTTTGAAAATATGAGCGGGAACATTTTTTCGTTTTAACTTCTAACAGGAGGTTTTCAAGTTTAAGTCTGGCGAATGTTGGAAAGATAGAAAAAAAATTTTCCCAAAATATATTTGACACTTTAATATCCGAAAATAAATTCTCAATACTTTTTTTACTAGAATGAATCACCGTGAAAAGAAATTGAGAAATGAAAAAAAGCGGAAAATTCAAATTTCTGAATCTTTAATCAATAACGATATTTTTTTAGAGAAGGAGGTCGCAAAGATAAAAAGTTTTTGTTAGCTGAGCAATAATTTAGAACAAAGAGCATGGGAGAATATTCCAATAATGCGCAGTTTACAAAATTTAAAAGAATGAAAGAAGCGAAAAACTAAGAAAAAGATATGGAAAAAGAGAAAATAAGAGTATTGGTCAAAAACATAAGGAAAAAGGTGATCTTGGAGATACAGTCAAACAGCGGACTGTGCTGCGTGGTTGAGCAAAACATATTTGTAATGGATTGAGTTCAAATTTATTCATTTTCAATGAAAAATTTGTTTTGAACTGTTTGAATAATGCCTCTTTCATGTGATTGGAATCTCCTTTTTTCCGAAAAAATAATTTTTTTGTGAAGAGTTCTTGGTCAAAATCGTAATGAATAGTCGGTTTGCAGAATACTGCGCGACGTTTCGGAGATGCTACGAAAGATGGCGCGGTCGATTGCGGTAGATGAACAACGGGAGCTCCTCCGAGTGATTCTGGCGTGCGCCCTCCTGGCCCGACAGCTGATTTCCGAGACGAAGGATCACACGGCCGAGCACCTCAAGGACCTCCGGATGAGTGTCTGCGATCGCGTCTCTGAGGTCAAAAAGAACAATAAAAATCAGGAAGATTTTTGTTGTCGAAAAAAAAAGCCTTTTTTGATTATTATCCGAAAAGTTTGACTCTCTTCTTTGCAGAGATATCAGATCCGTCTTTATATCTAATATTGCAGTAAACAAGGTAAATTTTTTAGCTTTTGCTTCCATTCGAAAACCTTATTTCGAAAAAAAATATTTACAATCTTATAATTTCTTTTTGTCTTTTTTTCAATTTTAATCGATAGAATATTCAGTTTTTCACCGCGTACCCGAGCCGAGGGTGGTCAGAAGAAGAAGTTCTTGCACTGCGAGACTACATTTTCGCTGGCTATTTGACGGATCTGCCAGAAGCGAGTCTCGTGGCCCAAGAAAAAGGACCAGTCCTCCCAGTCGCTCCGTTTTTCCGTCGTCAAAGTGCTCGTCGCCTTGGCCAAATTTCCTTCGCTGTTCCGCTTCTTCCTCATAAAACTCCAATGGAACACCGTCGGACAGCCGAAGAAAGACTGTTTCGCTTTCGAGGTAGAATCATCCGAAATAAGTATAGAATGGAGAAACTTTGAAGCTTCTCCTGGCACCTTTGCTGTGGTCAGGCCGATTTGATCTCATGTTGCGAAGCGTTCGGAGCGCTTTGATCGGGATGGTCCAGCTGGCGGACGAGCCCCTCGTCCAGCTCCCTTCGTCTACTTCGCTCCAAGTCGAACCTTTGGACGTCAAGCTTGGTATGCAAATCACGAAAAAAAATAATTCTCATCTCAAATTGAAGATGTCAATTTGGGAACGACTATCGTCCTGAAAAAACTCGAGTTTTTACTCGATTTCTTGGCCCGTGAAGTGGAGAACGACGTGAAAACTACGCAGAAGCCATCGACGGAAAATATGAACCTTTTGAATCGGTAGGTTATCAATAGAGTAAAAACTGTTGTTAAAGTGAGGGCTTTCAAAAAAGAGTATTTCTGATAGTGAAAAAAGTTTTTTTTTTCTCACTAGTTCTCAAATTTTTTTTTTAATAAGATCGTGTTTGATTTTTTCGAAGAAACTGCTAAAAATATGATTGGGAAAACAGTTCTGAAATCCTAACTCGGTTGGTTATCTTGAAAAGAAAAATAAATCTGATTAGATTATGTAAGGTAGGACCACAAGTTTTCCAGGATTTCCGACTTTGTGAACGATTCGGAGATGAGCACAAGAATCGCGTGGCCTCTTTTCTCATGCGTCGAGAAGCGCAAGTGTCAGGAAGAGCTTCTGATGCAGATGCTGAACACTCTCGGCCGCATAGCGCAACTCGTCGAAAACCCGCAGGAATTCATCCAGTCAGTTGTGAGCGACAGAAGACGTCGACCTTCTTCTCTTTCAGTCGAATCGCTCCTCTTTGCTCCAAGATCAATGGCCGGAACGCCCGAGAAGCGCTGGTCGGCATGGCTGAAGGATTCGCGAAATCTCCCAAAACGGGTCCAAGAGTTCGTTTTTATCTTATTCTATAGTCTATACCAATAAGGTTATTCGAAGCAGCGAGAGAAAATTTCATGAAAATTTTTTAAGGTGACAATTTTTTCAATGTTAATAGCAAGTTGTGCCCGTCTTTTGCATCTTGAATAACACTTTCAAACAATTATTGTCTTGAAAAGCGTCTTTTTCGGATTTCAGACTCGCGATATTCTTCGACTCTTCGGAGATTTGGAGGCGTGGGACAAGTCCAAGGTAGACGAGCCCAATTTCGATCGACGCTACAACGCTTACTCGAAGCTGGCCCAGGTTATCTTCTATTCGCAGAAAAAAGGGCTCAACTCATTTCCTTTCCAGATTTGGCTGGGAGACGAACCGTTGGACACTTCCATTTTGAGCATTTTCATCCATACTCATATGCACTTGATTTCGAACGTACAACAAATTCATAAGATTTATCTACTGAAAGTCGTTTCTAGACGTCGGACATGTCGCTGAGGATGGCGGCGAGCAATAATTTGAGAAGTTTGATCAGTTTTGCCGGGAGGACTCTGGGAAAGGAGAACGCGAATCAAAATACGAAAAAGAACATTGTCGACGGCGTTTTCTCGCCGCTTTTCGTCCAAGCGATGCGTTCAGAAAACGAGGTACCCACAAAACGGATGGATATATTGTGATTTTCTATAAAAATCAAGTATTGATTTCGATCCTTTGAGGACTTTCTACCAATTTTTTTCAATTTCATACCAAATCTTAAAAAAATTTCAATTGTTCAAATCTTGTTCTTCAAGACAAAAATGTATGAAAAAAAGATTATAATCTTCACAGAAAAAATTGAAAGGGTCGAAAAGGCTCCATAGAAATATTTCGGGGAACTTTCTTTTCGCTGCTTTTCTATATACGCCATTTTATCGGCTTTTATTTACCATTTTTCTTGCCTAAATCCTCTAGTTCCAGGCGGTCAGAGACGAAACTCTCAACTGCTTTGCGGCTCTCGTCGACGCATTTCCAGAACATGCGATCCTGTCGCAGTACGTACAGCTGCGAAGTACCGACAGCGACGTCGACTTTCTGGAAAACATGAACCATATTCAAGTACATTTGTCGATAAATACCTTCAAAATGAAAGAATTCAGGTCCACCGACGCCAACGGGCAATGTATCGTCTTGTAGAAGGAATCAAGACGAATAAGGTGAGAACTTCGAAAATTACTTTGACTCTGTAATTTCAACAGATTTCTATGGACTTTCCTGCGATGAACAAGTTTCTTGTCCCAATGGTGAGCCCCTACCTGATCAACACCCAGTCGAAGACGTCAGGTGAGCTATTTTCTTCCAAGTTGACAGTTCGAAAATTTGAATTTAGCTCTTTCGGACGAAGCTCTGCGTGTTTTGAACGTTGTCATGTCTCATGCGCCTTGGCCCAAATACGTCTCTTGTCTGGAATTTTGGCTGTCGAGGGTCGAAAAACATTCCATCAGCAGTGAAATCAGCGATCGGGCGCTCGTTAGGTTGGTTTAATTGTTCGAAGTTCATTAGATGTTTGAATCTGATATTTTCTTCGAAATTTTCTTCCAGTCTTCATTCAATTTTCCCTTCGAATCCGTTCTTTTTCAAAAGTATCTGGCTGTTTCCGGATATTTAAGCCACAAATAACCGGTCAAAAAAATTGAAAAAGTGAGAAAACACTTATTTTTAGGGTCCTTGTTTCTGTAATCGACGCCTTCCACTTTGATCTGACCACTCCGGATGAATCAATGGAAACAGAAGAAGCTGACGAGAATGCAGAGCCAACAGTCGAACAAGAGCCGGAGACGGAAAAGCCAGAGAAGGACCATCGACTATCGATTTTGGAGCGCGTCACCCAGAAGATTCTGCCCCGCCTGACCCGATGTCTGAACGCCCAGACGGAAGCCGTCGAACGCAACGCGAGGACTCTCCAAACGAAACTTTTCGCCGAAGATTTCGACATTCAAAGAGCTCCCATGGCCCTCGCTACAGTCAAAATGTTGAAGAAGCTTCCTGAAGAGCTTCAAAACCAAAATCTCCATGGGTAATATTTATCGAAAAAACTTATTACCAATTCGAAAATTCTAGAGTTGTACTGAAACTGTGCCATTTGATGATCTCCAGATCACACAGTGTCCGCGAATCGGCACGAAAAATTGCCATTCAGGTTAGTTTTTCACCAAAAAAAACGTACATGTCCAAAATAAGAGAACCAAAAGGTATACCAACCTAAAAAGTTCAAGAAGACTTTCGATAGGTTTGCTTCTGAATATTAATTTTTATCTTTTGCGAGATCATTGAAAAAAATTTCGGACTGGAATTCAGTAGCAAACTCTTAAATAAACGGTTTGTTAGGTGTCTAGATTACCGTCGAAATTTCATATCTACATATATTTTTAAGGTTTCCGAGGTTTTGGGTCCAAAATACCTGCCATTTATCATCAGAGAGATGCAGTTGGTGATGACCAAGGGCTTCCAGGTTGAACTTCTGATAAAATCGTTGGTAATTTCATAGTTCAGGTGCATGTGGTGATCTTCTCCGTGCACACGCTGATCATTTCGCAGAAGGAGAACCTGAAAGTCGGCGACTTGGACACGGCGGTGGACGCGATCATGAAGCTGTGTGTGCAGGATCAGTTCGAGAATGCGTCAGAGGAAAAAGAGCTCGGCTCCATCAAAGGCCGACGTGCCTGAGGCCAAAGCCAACCGCACTCCGGAGACCCTGGCTCAGCTCGGCCGCGTCGTTTCTGCCGCCGGAATCGAACACGTCCTGGAACCCCTACGGTAGCCTTACCTTCTGAGCCCTCTCACAGAACGTGGAAATTCAGAAAAGTAGTGGATGCGAAGCCGTCGGCGAAGGTGATAACGCGCGTTTCCGACTTGCTGTCGAAGTTCGTCTTGGGACTGAAGGAGAACGACGGCATCTCGCCGAGCCTGCTCCTCAACTATATCTTCCAATCCCTCACTGGAGACATCAAGAAGATGCAGGATGTGTTGGACCGGTCGGAGGAGTCCGATGTCGTCAAAGAGCACGGCCGAAGACCACAAAGTTGCCTAATTTTGCCCAAAGTCTGATATCTAGAACTTGATTATTGAGAATTACTGTTTCAAGGCACCCAAGCGGATTGGCGCCGCTGAAAAAACGGTCGTCAAAAGTCGAGTGCACGTTTTCGCCGAGTTTTCTGCGCAGTTATTGGCGGCACTTCTTTACGGTTTATTTTTACGTTCTCAGTTTGATTCATATTTTTTATTAAAGCCAAGCGACTTGACCCGACCGAACCGGAAACCATTTCTCGTCTGAATCCGTTCGTCAAAATTGTTCTGGACTGCCTAAAGTTCAAATACGACAAGGTTTGTCTGGGAAAACTGTACGTATTTCTTTCTGTTTCTAGCTCATAACTCACTCTCTTCGAGCGCTGGCTTCTATGATTCAGATGCAACTGCCGGCTATCAAAAACCATCTTCCGGATGTTTCCAATACGTAATATACCTTTCCAAATCATAAAGTTCCTTTTTCTCTCAGACTTTTCGTTCTTCTGGCCGAATACTCTTCTCTGGGGAGCGTCGGAGGCAAGGCGTCAATCCAGCAACTCAGCCAGCTTCTGTACAAAGTACGCTCAATCATCGCCTCAGAACTGTTGATTTGTCTCAGACGTTCACCAAACTGATCAGCTACGCCGGCAGCACTTGGCTGACCCAGGAGAATCTCTCCCTTCTGCTCGCCTACGCCGAAGTCGACGTCCTCGACCAGCAGAAGCAGTCGACGATGTTCTCGCTTCTGAAGATCCTCGTCAGAAAAGGCGTCCGACATGAACGAGTCAGTGGATTATGAGCAAATAGTTACAAAACTGATTTATTTTTTTCAAAATTATTTATTTTCGTCGATTTTAAGGCGATTTTCAAAATTTACTGAAAATACACTTCTTATCCAAAAAATTTGTTCATTCTAGTGCTATTCTGAAATAGTTCTGTTTTCTAGTTGCCGGAGATCATGCATCATTTATCGGAAACTGCGATCCGGTCTCCTATCCAGAGCATCCGAACGCAGTGCAGAGAGGTTCCTGAGGGAGATTTCGATCGTAAATAATGTTTTTATTGCGTCAGACGTTAATTGACTTCATCGGCGGCGCTTCGGATGAGCTGAAAAAGCCTGAAAAACACATCGAGTTCTTCCTGGACCAACTGGATTATGAGTACGAGGATGGTCGGTTGAGTGCCGCCGAAATGCTCAAAATGCTCTTCACCCATTTGCTGCCGGTATGTTTCCCACATGGAAAAGGTACAGAGGTTTTTTGTTAACTCAATGGCTTTTCAGAAAACGCTGACGGAAGTTCACATGCTGTGTACTGTGAAGATGGGCGCGGCGCTGGTGAACGACGACTCGCCGAAATGCGCGACGCTGGTGGCCCTCGGACTGCGCCAATTGCTGACAAGCGTCGGCGTCGCTCAGCGACAGGAAGTCTTCGAGGCGATCTGTCAATGGCTCGAGGCTGACGACGTAATCTGTGACGCCGGTGTGACGTCATTCAAGAGAGATATTCAGGAGAATGCGAGATCCGTGGGTCTGCAGGTCGTCATGCAACTCTCCGCCGTCGAGAAGGATGTTTTTGCCGCGAGAATGGCGCCGTTCATGGATCGAGTACTCAACGTCGTCACGGATGACGAGTTCTTCGACAATAACTCGTGGGTTTTTGTTTTTGGAACAAAAGCTTCTAAGCGGTGTTGGTAAAAAATCATCAGCTGAAGGCTTTGAAAATCCAAAAACGTTCGACAAATCTTTGAAAAATAAACAAGAGAATTGATAGAAATTTTCAACCTGTCTTTGTATCCATAACTTTATTCAAATATTATAACTGATTTTTTTCCTACTTTTTTGGAGTCTAAGGAAAAGTCGAGAAGATTGAGAAAAAGCATCCTATGAACAAGACTTTTTTTCTGATTTCCCCAGATTTATTAATTAAAGTATTCTTGATTTTTCTTCAGGACAAATTTAGTACAGAAATAGTCGTTTTTGGAAGATTTTTTTCCTTTTTTTCTGTTTTCGAGTGAGCGTTGAATCTTACAGCGAATCGACGCTGGTTCTTTACGCCAAATGTATCACAACGGTTCTTAGTCATGCTGGCCCAGAGGCCGTTGAGCATTTCGATTTTGACCAATTGTTTGGTGGGTCATTTCTGCTTCAAAGCCCATCCTCTCTGTCCTTTCAGACTCTCTGGAACAGTTCGTGAAGTGCGAAGACGAACTGAGCGTCCGTCGCGAAGGCTGCCGACTTCTCGGACAAGTTTTGGCGATGATGTCGACGTCGCGAATCTCCGGCGAACGGGCCAAAGTCGTCGTCGACTGGATGAGTCGCGTCATTCGCCATCCTGTCCTCGACGCTGCCACTGCCGAACAGGTACATCCTAGAAAGATTTTAGCAGGCTCATTGATCGAAAAAAAGACTTTTGACTACGTTATTATTGTAGAACTGAAAGAATTTCAACCCTCTCAGAAAACTTTCAATAAAAAAAAGGGGAAACAGACTGACTGCATGGATCTGCTATTTTTCAAACTCACTTTTGAAAGCCTTTTTGATAGCTTTCGGTTCCTCACATCTTCTTCAAACAGATTTTATGTGACTCAGCCAAATTGATGTAGGTTTTAAAAAAATACTTTTTGAGACCTTCAAAAAATCTTTCCTCGTTTTCCTTACAACTCTAGGAGATTTATGCACCCCTTGCAGATCTGAAAAGTTTTTTAAAAGTTTTTTTTATGGTAATACTTTTTCTGTTGTTAGATATATGACGAAAAGCGGAAGTATATGTCGTTCAAAAAGAATAAATCTCATTTTTCACATTTCATTTCAGGCGTCAAAAAGTATTGTCTTCGTATCCAAGCACCTGGAGGACGATTCTTTCGCCCATTTGATTGCGCAAATTGCGCAGGCTTGTCGTTTTGAAATAAAAAATCAACCTAAAGCCATCCTCAAGGTTCTATTCCGCACTAGAACTCGGGAAAGTTGAACTATTTCCAGAGATCTTATTGTTTCAAGCTTTCTTTGGCTCTGGCTCTGTCCAATGAAGCTCGCTCCAACACGGCCATCAACGCGTTTTTCCCGTTATTCGTTCGGGAAATCACTGGAAAATCACAGAAAAGTTGGAATCATAGTCTACAATGTTTCATGGTTTGAATTGAAGGCTCGGAAGAATTGGTAACACTGACAAATGAGATCTGCGAAGTCATCAAGAAGAAAATCGGAGAAGAAGATTTTGGTAGACGAACGGCTCAAGCCCAACAGGACACAGCCAAGAGAGCCGCCGAGCGAAAGAGAAAAATAAAGGTGAATGTGCTCAAATTTTGAGTCTGGATAGAAATTTTGAAATGAGACGATTTTGAAGACGTTGAACGGTTTCGTATTGTCAATTTAAAGTGGCATTGGAGCCATACCTGTCAGTAAAAAAAATTAGTTTTTAGCAAGCTTGATATTGAATGAATTTGTTCGTCGAAGTTCTTTAATTTCAAACTTTTCAAATGAAATTTGTTTGCAGGAGCTGGCGGTGACGGCGCCGGAAGACGCGGCGGAGCTGAAGCGACGTCGCAATCGCAAGAAACTGGAAGTGCGAAAGCGGAAACTCGACGTGCAGAAGCCATATCGGATTGCGAAGCGACGTCACCAGGAGAAAATGAAGGCGCAAATGGATGAAGAAGACTGAAAAACTTTCTAGAGATTCTATCTAATTTCGTTATTTCCCTTTTTTTGTTCATCTTTTTTGTTACTTGTTTTCATTTTTGTTATCGCGTTGTTGAATTGCTGTCTTCATGGGTACTTTGTTGATTTTTGTTGTTGTTGTTTTTTTTTGTTCAAGAAATCGCTCTTTTGCTCAGAATATAAATATAAAAAAATTTTTTTCACCGATTTTTTCATAATTCTTTTGGTAAAGTTCTTAAAATATATTTAGAAAAATAATCATTAAAAAATCATCTCGGTATGGCCCTAAAATCTGAAGTAGAAGGAAAAAAGTGTTCGGAAAGAACTTCACTGGGCCTGGCATTTTCGGCTCATTCTTTCTTCTGCTATTCATCATTTTTCGCTAGTTCGAAAGTCCTCGAGAGGCTCCTCAAATTTTAATAATATGCGGAAACGTCTTCTCGAGGCCTTATGAATATTTTTTTGCCAAAAAATGTTTTTCTCTGAATCGCTATGATGACGAAATGTACACAGAACACAAAAGCGTCAGCACAGGTACACGAAAAGTTAACAAATCGGAGGTAAATATACCTCCGTAAATTTATTCTTTTTCGAACTGAGAAAGTTAGTGATATAGTTTTGGTTTACTTTAAGTTCGAAAAAATTACCTCGTAAATCCTTTCTGATTGATTTCCTAATTAAGGAGTGGTTATCTTAAACGAAAAGCTTCAAATTTCATTTGCAGCATTTCGATTATCAATGGAGCTAAGTTCCTGTCTTACTGCAGCGATTTCCGCCTGAATGCTTTTTAATGCTTCTTCATCTTTCAAAGCTCGTTTTATGAACATTTTCGAACTATTAGCGATTTTTCAAAGCATCAATTTAGGAAGTTGAAGCTATATAATTACCTCGGGCCGTTCGTCAACCTTATCAATCGAAAAACATCGGTTCTTTATTGAATGAATGTTTTCTGACAAACTAACGTAATTGCACGTGGGAGCTCTGGACATTTTTCGGGGCTCCGAATTCCTCCGCGCGAGTTCCATCCGTCTATATGGAGCAGAAGCTCGCCGCCGAGGTCTTTCGAGTTCCCAATCGATTTACGTCTTTCAAGGCTCTTTTTTGCTTCTTTCCAAATGTCTTCCACCAAAGTTTTTTTTGCAGTTTTTTTTTCATTAAAGTACTCGAGAAGAGTCTTTACCATTTTCAGAAAGATAGATTTAAATATACTTTTTTTCAAAATTTGCTAGGTCTAGATATATAAATAATTTATCTTTTTAGGGTGCTAATTTTTCATTTGAAAATATAGGAATTTTTGTGCTTTTTTTATATTTAATCGTTGCGTTTCTTGATAGATATCAAACCGAAACTCTCCATGATCGTTTAAACGACAAAATAGTCTTTTGTTGAATAGACTCTCCCGTTTTTCAATTCCACGAATTCATTTTTTTAAAAATTAAACTATCCTCCTGTAGTTTATATAAAATCAAAGCGTAAACATCTCTCGTCTCTCAAAATGCGTTCGCTCCTTTCTGCATATTTTTAGAAATAGCTAAATCGCCCATATCAACTGCTTTCTATTTTTCCTATGCACAAAAATTTTGAAAGCATTATCCAATTAAATAAAATGACATTCCGCGAAATTCCGTATCAACTCTAAAAAAATTCAAAAACATCAAGTGCTTATTTTGAATCTTTTATTTCCCCCTAAAAATTTTTTCAGAAGTTTTTACCTTGGCGTTACTGAGCTCTATCAATGAATAGGAAATCATAGCTATATTATAAATATTGAGAATGAAAAAAATTGAACGAAGATACGGAAAAAAATTGTTGAGATGGAACGTTATCAATGGAGCGCAAAAATAAATGCAAAAAGTAAAGTGAGCTCCTTGCGGATTATCTGAAGAATTAAGCGCTCTTAATAATTATATTGTTCTGTAGTTCATTCATTTCTGGCTTAGAAAACTGGAAAGAAGTTATGCATTCTCTGCACGATAGTTGGCCAAAAAAGATGCCAAGACGGTTTTTCAGTGTTTTTGTTTCCCAAGTAAAGGTGAATGGAGTATGTGATCTCATTTTTTTAAACATTGGAATGAGATTGGATACAAGAATGTTTTTCAAAGTTCAGTCAAGAAAAAAACGCGGTGAACTTTATAATTATTATCTCTTTTTCCTATGCTCAAGATAATAATCAGCGATTTCATAGGTCATTTTTTAATTAATTAAAAATTTCTTTATCTTTTTTTCGCGTTTTGTGCTCAATAAATCATTTTTTGTTTTTAAAAGTACTTTTTTTGAGGTTGGTCCAGCTCCAACAATGGACGACTCTTACGCCATAGCTCAGCCCTATGCCGACTATTACGAAAGCATATTCCGAGAGGTCTTCGATATCATTTTTCAATTTTTGAAACACCCATTTTTAGTTCAATCCTCGCGGTCTTCCTACAGTTCCAGCAGGTGAAGCCGCCGCTTTTTTGAAACGATCGAATCTTCCGATGCCAGTTCTCGGACAAGTTGTTTCATCCCATTGTCCCTGATTATTTTATAATTTTCAGATTTGGGAGCTCGCTGATCAAAGAAAAATTGGAGCCTTGGACAAGAGAGGAGCTTATGTCGCGTTCAAACTTGTGGCTGCGGCTCAGAATGGTCAGCTTTGTTTTCATTTTCTATTTTATTTTCAGCAGTTCCCTATTTTTTTTGATCATTTATCTGCTCTAGGCAAGCCATTAAACTCTCCGGGCCTGTTGTACGACTCCAGTTTGGGCATGCCGAAGTTCGGTCTTCCGATGGGTTCTCCAGCTCCTCCTGGAGGCTCTTTTCAACATTCACCGGTTTCTGCCGCTCAGTGGGCCATTCCGCAACAAGATCAGGTACTGAAAAGTCGAAAAAGGGTTAATAGGAACAAACAGAAAAATAGTAAAGGAAATGGTTCTGGAAGAAGATCCAAAATATAGTGAAAATTCCACTATCTGCTTTTTTTAAAAATTTTATCAGCAAGGTAGAACTATCAATTTTTCAAAAAACTCTTAATAATCTAAAAACTTTTTCATCTTCATTATGATAGAAATCTGAACTCAAAAATGACTTTTGAAATGAAGAGTTTTTTTCTCTTTTCAGGCCAAGTACGATTCGATCTTTGCCTCGCTAGGTCCAGTTAACGGAAAAGTATCTGGAGTCGCTGTCCGACCGGTCCTCCTGAATTCTGGCCTCGACGGCGTCTCTTTGGCCCGTATTTGGGAGCTTTCTGATCAGGTTAGAAGTTGTTGGATTGTTATTCGGTCTGTGTAACCTGATACGTCGTGCATATTTCATGAGGAGCGCTGTTCTCACCGGGAAACTTTGGGATCGTTTTTGAGAATCGAGAGTTTGCAAATTGGAATGATTTCAAAAAAGCTTCTTCAAAAAACCAGAAACCAAAAAAATTTTGGGTATACTCTGTGAATTTTAATTGTTTAAAAACAGAAAAAAAGTTAAGGTTATAGAATCTTCCGGACTTATAAATTTTTCCATGTTTTTCTTTAGAAAAAAATCCTGCTCAGAGATCGTATTCAAGAAAGAGAGAAAATGATATTCCGCCATTTCTCTGAAATTTGCTGGGAATTCATCGATTTCAACTTTATCTAAATTAATGAAGTTTCATAAAAAGATTCGGATAGGGGAGAAAAATTGGGTGAAAAAAACACTGATTAAAGTCATTTTCGAGCTTCAGGATAATGACGCAAACTAATTTCCCACTTTATTGCAGGTTTTCTAACAAACCATAGAGAACCGAATTTGTTAGAGCTCGGTTTTTTGTGATAGTTTCATTTTAAGGACAAAGATGGGCAGTTGGATCGGATAGAAATGTCGATTGCTCTGCACCTCGTTTACAAGTTTGTTTTCCATTTTCGAACTCTTGCCATTTTTGATTCCTTGAAGGGCTCTGCAAAACGAGCCGATTCCCTCGGAACTACCATCTTCTCTCATTCATCCTAGCAAGGTTTTTATTTTCACTCTCCGTCTTTCCAAAAATCTCTTTCTTCAGGCCATGTTGGTGCGACGAACTTCGAATGCCGGATCCTTGACCGGCGTCCCTGCCTATCCGCCTCGACCTCTTTTCGGTTTTTATCAATTTTTTTAATCAAAAATAAGCTAAAATGTATGAAAAATGATAAGAAGTTGTGATTAGGCACTTCGAATTTTCTTTAAAGTTGTTCAGAAAAGTTATGAAAAGGAACCGCCTCTAGTTGGTTTTCTTTTTGCTTTTTTTCGAGGCAGATATGCGATTGTTAATAAGTTTGGCAAAGAGCACATGAAAGAAAAGGGGAGATTGATCATTTTTTTGAAAGTAAGCCAGACATCGTTCGTAAAATTCTCACAAAGCCAGCGTTTCAAACTTTTCTTGGTGAATTATTTTTCCCAATCCTGGATGAAGGCTGAACAGAATATTTTAGGAAGTCGCGCCGGTTCGGTGACTTCACTGGACGAGGGAAATTCCGGTGGTTTTTCGACGCTTCCGAAGCCGGCGGCCCGTGCCGTTTCTGTTCAGCCGTCGCATTATATGGTGAGATTCTACCAGAATTATTCGTTTTTCGCTCGAGTACATTCAAAATCAACAAGTTTGACTTCAGAATGGTCAAAATGGCAGGACCAGTGGCTGTTCGACGCCCCTCGGATCGATAAACCGGGAAGTCGGCGCTCTTACAGGTTTTTTCAGTCTTTTTTTTTTAAAAGGAGTTTATGATTTCACTACTTTCTCAAAGTTTTTCCGATTAATTTTGATAAGGGGCAACTTTTTTTATGACCAGGTCATGTATCATCTCTGAATTTCTCAAAAATTAAAAGATTTTTAGTCATAACTAAGTTTCAGCAGCTGCGTGACAGATAATTTCCTTTTTGCAGTTTTTTTCATCAGGAATATAAAATAAAACATGCTATTTCATTTTTGTAGAAGGGTTTTTACTGGCGTAGCTTTTCAATAGACTTGTCGCAATTTCGCATGTTAGTAACAGACAAAGTTGAGGTTCGGTTTCGGTGAGTTCTCTGACGGAGAACGGCCACGACTGGCCAGTCTCGACCGCAGAGCACGAGGCGCTGTTCTCAATGTGCGACGGCGACCACGACGGCTTCGTCAGCGGCGCCGACGTCAAGGGACCTCTTCTGGGCACCGGTTCGTTTCAATTATTTCCGATTTCTTTTGTACAAATGAAAAATGGACAGTTTCATTAAAGTTTCAAGGTCCATCCCGTAGATGGGCAGACCTTATCTAAAAGCCGCCATTCCCTACTCCCAAGTCTTGGTTTCACTCGTTATTTTGGTAAATTCTCGTAAGTCAATCCTTTTTTCTGGAAAAATTAAGATCTCCACTTGTCCATGCATAGATCATCTACCAAAATACATCTATTTCAAGACTTCTTCATGTTGATAAGTAAATAAACCTATCCACACATCTTCTTCTTACACCATTGTACCACTTTAGTGGCATCGGCGCCTAGAGTCGCTAAAAAAGGCTCTCTTCTGATATCAGGGATGATCTGGCTCTAACATATTCGCCCGTGTGTGGGACGGCTTAATTTAAAATTAAAATGCCGTGGTTTTTCACTACCTAAATTTCTCAAACCTCTTATTTGGGTCACGTTGTGGATTGAACTTGCGCCCCTGTGGACCGTAGACCCACAACAGGTTTAATTAAGATCTCGCCTTTCCAGTTCATATAATGGGACGTCGAAAGTTCAATTGTAAAAATTTTATTTTTTCAATTTCCAAAGAACTTTGAAGGTCTGTCTCCTCAAATGCTCGCCCACGTTTGGTCGCTCGTCGACAGCAAACGAATCGGACGGCTCAATTTGGAGCAGTTCGCCCTAACGTATGTATTTTAGAAGAGTAAACTGTCTAGTGATTTCTTGCCCTTTCAGAATGTTCCTCGTACAAATGGCAAAAAGAGGAGAGACGCTTCCCCAAGAACTTCCTCACTATCTGATTCCGCCGTCGATGAGACCGCCGATCCCTTCAGTGGCCGCTCACGTCCTCCATTCGGTTCGTCCTTTTCTATCTTTTGTTGGGAAAACCTTTCATATAGACTTTTAACAAAAAATCTTGTGCTGAAATCCTTTTTTTGAACTCGTTCAACCTTTTGAAACGCGACTTTCTTTCAATCAGGAAATTTTGAGCCATATTCTTCGGATTAGTATGAAGTTCTAACGCGCCCAAAAAGCTTCAAAAATCTCGGTTGATTTTTTCGCAAGAAAAATTTTGATTAAAATAAGTTCGAAAGATGAATTAACATGATGACGGAGAGCATCAATGAGATTTGAGTCCAGCATTCAAGTTTTGCTTCGATTTTAACGGTAATATATCATTTTCAGTGTAAGGTACAGGAAATTAGAAGCACGGGAAAGTGAATTAACAAGATAAACATTAAATGAAAGGCGGCGGAAGCAAAATTTTTCAAACTTAAATTTTTTCTTCAAATTCGGATCCAGGAGCACAACCAATCGGTTTCAACTCCTCAACTGCCCGAGGCGACTTCGATGGAGATCAAAGAAGCTTTGGAATGCGAAAACGAAGAAATGCGGCAACTCGCCGAGGCCATCCAGTCTATGCAGGCTGATCGAAGGTTCCTTTCCTCTTCTTCCATCTTTTATTCAGAAGCTCTTTTCAGAAAAGCCGAGGAGAATATTGTGCAGCTCGAGGCGGACATGACCATCAAAAACTCGCGAATCAAGAATTTACAGGTGATTTATACCTGGAGGTAACGAATATGAGAACTGCACAAAACTTGGTAACATTGTCGGAAGCTTTCAAGTCTTTTTTTAATTAATTTTTTTCCAAAAAAATATATAAATTATGATACTCATATTTAAAAGTTTGATAAGTTTATTTCACATTTTTTTGGCTTCAGATTGAACTGACGACTTTGGAGGGAACCGTGAAACAGTTGGAACGACAGAAAGGAGAGGCCAATAGACGATTGGCTGATTTCGACACTCAGGTCGGTCAGAAGACGAAAAAAAGATTCCAGGGAGCTTTTTTTATGACATGCGGTTGTACCAAAAAAACGAAAGTATTGGCAAAACTTTTTTTTTCATTCTGATCAAAAAAACTACTGAAAAATAGTAGATTTCAAAAAGATGATGGAAAAAAAGCTCTGAGAGGATAATTTATTAAGCATTCTTTAATCTTAGAATTCATAATAACCGCATATCGATTCTGGAGAGAACGCGAATAGAATCATCATCCGAAAATAAGTTGAAAAATTAGGGATCTTGCCGCCAAATTTCCACTTGTTCTATCAAAATCTCTTTTTTTTTGTCAAAACCAAAATTTTATGTAAGCTGAAGGATAAAAATTGAAGGAAAAAAAAACAATATTATAATTTGAAGACGTAGTTTAACGATGCCTGAATTCATAGGCCTCTTTGAATAGCTCTTTTTATTGATTTTTTTAATTATCGAATTTTTTCTGAGATAATTAGTTAGCGGATCTTGTGACAACACTTGTTTTTTTTTTTCGCGATTGAAAGATTTTCAAGGCAAGAGTTCCATCGAATAGTTCTTCCTTTACTGTTCTGATGCTCATTTTTACGTCTTTGGCTTTTTTTTCCACCCGGATTGTTTTTTATTATTGAGTCTACTTTTCTAATGTGGAGCAGAAAAAAAAAATTCAGATTGAACAATTGAAAGCAGCCTGCGACGCCCAAAGAGAGAAAAAGTCGGACACTGAGACGCGGATGACGCAGATCCAGGAGGACGCGCGGGCGGGCGAGGAGACCCGCACTGTTCGTTTTTCATTCATCCATTTTTCGGGTCTAAAGTTTCAAATAACGTTTAAAAATTCCCCTGAGAAATGTTAAATGTTACACATGTGAGCATGGATCATTTCGGGTAGGCTCTGAGAAAATCAGCTTCTTCTTTTTTTAAAGAGTTTTCTTCCAATTATTTGCTGAAAAAAATCTTCTACTTGAAACCGATTTTCAAACTAATCCTCAAAAAAAAAACTAGATCTTTATACACTTTTTTTCCTTCAGTGATGATAATTATCTCAACATAAGTTGAATTTTTGATTCAGAAAGACCTGGAAGAGATGGAAGCGCTGAAGAACGACATCGCCCAGATGGAGATGGAGCTGAACGGTCTGAACGGTTTGATGACGAATGAAAAGGCCGAAAGAGAGAAAATCGTGGCGGAAGAAACTGCGGTAGACGCCGTCTAGATAGACCTTCAAATTGAACTCCTTTTGTAGCTTGAGATCCAAGAAGCACGCGACAAAGCCCAGGAAGCGCGACTGAAAGAAGCGATTGCTAGTACAAACGCGGCGAACGAAGCTCTCGTCAAGGCCGTCGAGGGCGGCGACGTCGCCGAGTTCGTCACAAAGAATCCGGCGGCGCTGCACACCCACGCCGACGAGTCTTTGGTTTGACGACGTCTTCCGGAAAACTCTCATTCTGATGTGCAGATGTCGGACGCCACCGTCTACACCGAAGCTTCGACGTCTTCTAGTTCTGCCGGCCACGTGACGCAGACGCCCTTCGGACCGACTCCCACTCATTCGCAGCCTTTCCAGCCCGATCCGCGTATGTATTCCTGCGTAAAAGATGAAATCTGACTTTGTGGAGTTTTACGGGCTTGAAGTTTTAGCTCGATCTGACTTTGGGCGGCTAAAAAACAGAGGGAAAACTTTATAAATGTAAAAAAGATACTCATTTTATTTTGAATGATAATTGAACCATCAAAAAACAGAATTTACCTGATAGGATAACATTGACAAAAAAATCTCAATATAAGTTCTGATTTGTCAGTAAAGCCTAATATAACCGCATTTCCAAACCCCAAAACGAAGTGGCTTTTTTTCAAACAAAAAAAGAACGGCGGTGGAGCAACAAATAAAGTTTATTTAATTAATTATAACTGGTAATGTTTTTTTCTATATTTCCAATGTCTCAAAGAAACTTTTTCAGACTTCCCAACGGATCCTTTCGCGCAGGCTGATCCGTTCGCCTCGACGCCGTCGGCAGCTTTTGGCACGGCTTTCCCGGCGGATCCGTTCTCTTCGGCTTTTCCGGCGGAACCCTTCGGCGGCGACTCACATCCGACTCCGCCCAAAGCCGCTGCAGCACCGCCACCTCGGCCTGCGCCGCCGAAATCGGCACGACAGACTCCTGTCACCGATCCGTTTGGGTAAATTAGTTCTCAGTTGCTCAGTTCAATCACTGATTGTTTGATTATAGGCAAAAAAAAACCATATCTTGGCGTTAGAATATTTATACTCTACGGATCTATGAACAGGCAAACTTGAAGAATTATATAACCGGGAATTGCAATCAGAAAGCGGTCAAGCTAACTCGGGAACGCCAGAGTGGTCCCTGTAGAGGTAGCCTTAGGAGCCCTTTAAGGTCCTCTTTAACTCCCTCTATAGGGTTCACTGAAGCTTGCCAAAACTGTCCTTATATGAGTTTAGTTTTTGGCCTCTATAGGGGGAGCATGACAGTCATTTATTGCCATGAACCTATAAGAGGAATTATTTTCATACGAAAAACTTGGCGTTTTTTATAGTAAAAAGGATATCAACAGAAGAATGATAGATCAAATTTGAAATGTGTCTTCATAGTTTTAAAATCTGAAAAAAAGTATTGAAAGGCTCTTCCTAGAGACCTCTTAAGCTTATAGTCATACCCTAAACAGCTGCGAGGATTGGGACCATCTAAATTTTACCCCTACAGTGGTCACTTTACTGTCCTCTATAGGGGCTGTTTTCTAATAGCCCATACTGGGACAACCTTGGCAAAGAGAAAAAAAAAAGTCAAATCTTTCTAATGCTCAAACCACAAATCAATCAATTATTTTTCAGAGCAGAGGCCCCGGCGCCGAATGCCAATTTTGCGAACTTTGCCGATTTCGGAGCCGCTTTCAATTAGCTCCTAGGTTAGACTTAGTATTTAGTTGAGAATTCTGGTCACTTCTCTTGTCATCCAACCGGCGCGTACCCTTACAGCCTCCTGATTTCACTTTCTTCGAAATATTAATTTTATTAGATTGTATAGTTCTTCCGTGTGACATTTTTAGGCATCCCGTTTGCTCTTTTTCGATTTTTGTCATTGTCATTAGGCCAGTTTGCTCGAACCCGGAATTACTTTTCTAAGGCATTTTCCACATTGCAACAGCTTGGTTTTTGACCAAATTAGCTTCTTTTGGACCTTCTTACTTCATTTTCCTAACATGAGATGTCATCTCAGAACATTTATTTGCATACTAATCTGCTCATTATTAATTTGCGACCCTCCGTTTACCCTATTTTAACGTTGTAGTCGTGCAATAACACGCGCTCAAATTAAATCCCAGTTTTCTACTCTATTTATTTATAATGTGAATATTGCCTCCCAATAGAAAAGTTGTTGTAAAATATTTTTTAGAAATAGTTCCAAGAATATATTACTTTTATTTAATGTCTTTTAAACTACAATGACGAAATTTTGACACATATGGGGTAGATAGCACACGAAATTCATATGATAATATGCACTCATTAAGAGAGAATGCGACAAATAAGTGAATCGACGGTTTCGGGGAACGGGATCAATGATTTCTAGATAATACGATAAATTAGAGCACACGTCTGTTTGGAGGAACACGTAGGGAGAGCAATTATGCTGGGAAGGTCACAGAAAAAAGATGATTATGGGTACAAGAAAACTTCGCGATCAGGTCAAATGAAATTAGTAAAAGGTTCGTTTCGAAAGGGTTATCCATGACCTTGGTCCTGAAATTTTTGAATATTTCTGGGTGATTCTTCGTGTAACTTGATATTTCAAGTAGGCTAACTTTTTGCACAAACCTTCAATTGGGCCAAGTACATGCTACGTTTGCTTTCGATTGATTTTTGTGGGAATGGGTTCAACTCGTTGAACGCGACCTGAAACCTTTTTCTACAGAATAATTCAAAAAAACTTGCTGAAAAATTAGAATTGTAACCAGAAATTTTCATGATATATTGGGATCTTTTTAAGTAAAAAAAGGTAATTTTCGATTGAACTTTTGAGGTTTTATCAGCTTAGATATTCGTCTGACATCCTTTGAAAGTCAAAAAAAAAACATTCAGGAAAAGTTCAAAAACCAATTTAGGAGAAAATGTTTTCGATTTCTTACTTGAGATAAAGATTTGAAGTCAGGAATGTACTCGGAGGAGCGACTGAGACAGGCGTGTACTGTCCCTACAAAGTGAATGAAATTAAATCTTAATGCAGGTAATCTATAAATGATAATGAGTCTGAAAATTCTCGAAACTAACCAATTGTTTTGCACTGTAGTACATGAGGCTCACAAAGCTTCAAAAGTGCGAGAGCGAATCGGAAAAGTACCTGGAAATGAAAACCGTGAGAAACATTCTAAGACTAAGAACTCTACTTTATTGCCTTCATATAGAAAAACATCGAAGATATTCAAATAGATAGAGTGCGGCAAAACGTCCACAAAACAGGTCAGAAACCAGCAAAGAGCGAATAGAGACAGATCCACCTGTTGGAAAATACGTTCATTACCACTGAAATTGTCACTGACTCACCTCTAAACTTCGTAGATGGGCTGCCAGTTTGGGAAGCTTTTCGGCCACAAGGTCGCGAAGGACCTATTAAAATTATGAAACAATAATTTCAAAAAATTGAAAAATTGGTTCGAGTTTTTCTACGAGGTAACAAAAATAGATAGGAAAGTTTACTAGAGTCCCTTTGTAAAAAGGTCATCTTGCTTTAGTTTGAAAGTTCTTTGAAAAATCAAAAATCTCCAAAAAATAAGTGTCGAAAGCTTTAAAAATAAAAATGCAGCAACCAACCAAACCTTTTGATCAGCGACGGCTCCCACGAGGGAACTGGTGTAGTAACCTTCGGGCTGTAGATGCTCCACACAGGCGACGAGGAACCAGAACGAGTCCTGCTCGTCCAAATAAAGTAGAGCGATGGCCGCCAATCGGTTCAGGCCCTCCAAATCCCTAGTTTCATCCCGAAATGTGCACAGTTACCTGGCAGTAGCCGACATGGGAGTTGTGGTAGCGGAAAGAATAGAGAACGTTTCGAAGACGTTCGATGTTGGCCGAGTCAGGCTCGTCGAAGTGTTTGTTGGTCGGCAAGGTCCGCGCCAAGTCCAGGTCGATCTGAAGCGCCACAGTTGCGACTGGAGTCGGAGCCCTTGGAACCTGCTTGATGGCGGCGTCGTAGACCCCGTCGTTCTTGCGAGAACTCGCCTTCCTCAGCATACAAGCGTAGTAGCCGTTGCCCAGCTCCGACTGTTTCTCTTTCACCGAGAAACTCACTAGGCTGAAACAACAATCCTTCACTATTAGCCACTATTAGCCACGGAAGACCTTTTCCAAACGCGACCGCGGTAGGCAGGCGGAACTCCAGTTCGAATGAGAAGTTTGAGGTCGGGCGAAGAGGCGAGGAGCTGTCGCGACGATGAATGATTCACGAGGAAGGCGTCCCAAGACTGCAGCCACTTCATGTACTCCTCGCTCTGCTCCTTCAAACTCCTTCTTCATTTTCCGTTGCTTGTTAGGTTCCCGATTCATGGATCCAGAAACTAGAACTGACAAGTCGAGTCGCTTCCATGAGTTCGTTAGCCTTCTCCATGTAAGAAGCGGCTGTGTCGAGGAGATCCTCATCTTCCGCTTTCTTCTCCTTAAAAGTACAGCTATGAGATATACCTGCGAAGTTCAGAGAAAGAAAAATTAGAAGCCGACTTCAAAAAATCCTCACTTGATTTCCTTTTTTCATTTTCTCGTTTTAAAGCGTCGTCCTTGGGAATGAGCGACTTTACAGCAAACTCTATGTCTAACAGTATGCACAATACAGTATGATTTTTCTTCGTATTAACAACAAATCAGGAAAACTCAGAAATCTAAACATCTTGATCCTTATTGAAATAGTTGCACATTGTATTCCTTCTTCTCCAGGTTCCTTCTAAATAAGAAAATAACCTTCCGGTAGAACCCCAGCTGGTCGGTGAGACTCCTCTGAGATTCTCTCGGCGTCCTGGCCGACTCTTCGAGCAGCTCCCGCAACACTCCAGGCTCCATTACTGATAAAACCAATTTTGTCAATATCCACAGAAATTTCCAACTTTTTCCTGGTTTTTCGGGCGACTTAAAATGATTGAGGACCATTAAATATCGACTTTTCAGTTGGTAATAGCAAGCCTCAAGGTCAAAATTTTGTCGGATCAGCCGTTTTTCGCGTTCTTCCAATGATTGAACTATTCCATGCAGCTCTGGAATCAAAATTTTTCTTTTGAAATTGTAGGGCATCAAAAACTTTCATGTAGACACTTTCAAAAGAAAATTATCAAAAAAACCACTATTTTTTTCTGAAAAGAAATGAAATATTAGGTTTTCAAGAAACGTAACTTTCATGTAGATATCTTTTTGGCGATGGTATGAAAAATTAGGTTCAAAAAAAGATAACACATCGAATTTTGAAACGGTAATTCAAAAAAGAAAACCTATGATTTCACTGTTGAGGAAGTGGTTCTGATCTCGGTAGCCGTCGACCAAATCCTTGAGTTCGGTGACGTCATTCACGTTTTCCTCATCGAAAACCCTGAAATAAGAGAAATTGAGACAGAATGTTTCCCTGGGCCTTGGACAATACAAAATGTGCCCCTGGAAGGTTATATAGTTCATAATTTGTATAAAAACTAATTAACAAATGTTAGAAAATACCCTGGTTTCCTAGGCCACATCTCATATGACTCTAGAAGGAGTAAACTTGCTCCAACGAGTGTTCCTACGAGGATAACAATCCCCCGAAGTCTCCTGCTGGTTAGAGTTACCACGGGCTCTCAGCGGGCTTGCCCGTATGAATCCCGTATAAGCACAGTTGGTAGAACTTTTGGCATTTTTTACCACAGCCGAGACATTTTTTTTTTTGGCACAATCGGGTCTCAGATTCTCGACTTGCAATAGATCTCGTTTTCAAGTTAAGACGCTTCAAAAGCTTGAAATAGCGCTTTTCTTGCCATAATTCCCGTGCTTTGCGGACTTCGAAGCTCCACAGCTCGAAAACCAGATCTATTGCGAAATTTTTTTTTTCTGCAATTAGGGGGTCCTAAAGTACACTTCAGCGAAGTTTTATCGAAAGTTCAACCAGAAGGTAAAAAAGTTTCCTAGCGAGTCAAAAATACCTACGATGTAGACACACTAACCGTCTGGCAGTCTCCTCGCAGTCCACAGAAGCTACATCTATCAGGATGGCCTCGGGCACTTCGACATCTCCCAAGAGCTTCTCGACATTTCCGGACGACGTGGCAGACGACGTCGGTTCTTCGGCTTTTTCCTCACAAAGTCGCAGAATGAGCTCTTCTTTCGTGCGGACCGACTCGCGAAACGCCTCCACCGACTGTTGCAAGTCCGTTATCGTGTCTTCCAACTTCCTGAAACATTCTTTAGAGTCAAACATCTGTTGATATATTGGAATGGAGCTAGTGTTAGATGGCCGTACAAATTTCATATGTTTGAGATTAAGAAATTTCTGCGTAAATAAGAGGAATTAGATGTGGAAAAATCAGGTTTTTTTTTTCATTATTTCTCTTTGACTGAAAGCATTTGGACAATAAAAAAAAACTAAGAATCAGGCCTAGTCCTTTTTTTCCAGCTCTCAATTGTTCTTATATTACGATTTTTCTGCGACTATATAAAGAAATAATCTCCTGTTCAGCTAGAGATTTGAAAAGTATTCGAGCAAACTTTCAAAAAATGCTAAGGGAAAATGAACGCCGACATTCAAACCTTGTCTCATCCTCCATGGTACGTATTTTGCGAGCCTGTTGACTGCAGCTGATCTGCAGCTCGGTCAGATGTCGCTCCTTCTCGAGAAGATATCCGCGGAGCTCGTCGTCGTCGTCGATCGTCTCCAGATGCTTGAGAGTTTCATTCTGGCGCTGGGCGGCGACCAAGGCGTTCCGGAGAGAGTCGACGACGGCCTCGAGGCTCGCCACTCGGTCCGTCAGTTCGATGCAACGGTCTTCGCTGCTTTCCTGTCGCGCTGGCACGACCACCGACGCCGTTGGAGACTGCCCTGCAACGATGGAATCCAGGTTCCAACGACTCGGAAACCTTCTTGCTCTCGTCGATGCTCTGGCTTTTGTTGCTGCGGAACGCGTTGGTGATGTTGCGTCGGATGGCTCTCAAAGGCGCTTCTATGCTGTCGTTCGTTTTTTCGGCTAGTCTTTTGACCACCATTTCGGGACTTTCCACTCTCTGCAGAGAATGTCAACGTTAAAATCGTGAGCCTGATTCAAAGACCTTGGGCATTTCAAGACTGCGGTCGTTGAGGTTTCCGTCGGGGTCGAGGTACCATTCTGACAAGGAACCCGCCTCGTGGGCACTGTCCGTCTCTTCGCTTCGGACGCTCATTCCCTAGGAAAGCCCTTTTTAGAATATAATACATTTGATTACAGAAACAGAAATAGAAAAGGATATATTTTGATTCATTTGATTTTTCTCTACTACCATTATATTCAAGTTACCGAAAAGCTAATGAACCTTTTTCTGGTTTCCGCTCGTGTACTTCACTTTTCGCAAACCTCGCTGATAATTTGCACGACTTCGTCGCCGGCTTCAACTTGAATCGGAGGGTTTTCCGGAGACATTCTGGCCTGTTCGACAGCTTCATTCACAGGCTTCTTAGTTCTCGGAGGCGGTACAGGCGAAGTGCAGGTGGCCAGAAGTTCTTGAGTTGGAGTTGAACACGACGGATGAGCTCGAGTCAGAGCAGTGATGTCCTGAGACAGCAAAAATTAGGGATCCTTTGAAGACTTGCAGCTACGAAAGAGGCGTCGGAGTGGGAGGAATGCGAGGTGAACCAGCTCTTTTTGCGAGTCTCCTGCAGGACCCGCATCCATTCGTTGCGTTGCTTATCCGAGGAACACTCGAAAATGTAAACCTCGTTGACTGCACTGCAAGAAAAGTTTCAAACCGACGAAGGGCAAATCAAAGGATCCATAGGCCTGAGATCAAATCAGGGCTTCAAAACGTTGAAAAAAAGACTATTTATTTTATATAAAAGACTTGATACAGTCTTTTGAATTCTGTAAAATACGAGAGAAAGATTGCCGAGAATGAAAATAGAAGTATTCATTATTGTTAGTGAAGCTTTCTCGGTCTAGCCAGATTGAAAAAAGCTCAAAATTTGTAGATATTCAAAAAACTCAAGCTTTTTCAACTACAAAATGCGGGTTTTCGAGGTTCAGAGCAAACTCGACTTTTTTTCGATTATTATGGTGAAAAGCCTGACTGGATCTCGAAACGGCCTTTCTCTTTGGGATCGTAGGTGAAGGCGGCGCCACTGAGACAAATTCGCCCTGCTGACTTGACGTCGTCGCTTTCCTAAAGAAGAATTCTTCGTTCTTGGCCTCGTGGTATGTTCGACCTTGTACCAATAAAGGTAGGGAGATGAGTCAGAGAGCGCAAACCAGTACCGCCGTCGCGTTATCAGACCTATCGAACGGATTTCTATCTGAAAAAATCATTGATTTTCACTCGACAAAAAATTGCAACCTTGGTCTTATACACGACAAAGAAATAACATAATGGAAAAATTCTTCTTTTTTTTTTGGAAATTGAATGTTTTGACGTACGAAGTTTAATAGACTGAACATCATGAAACAAAAAAAAAAGGAAAACCTGAACTATTTTAATTCACCACAACAGGAATTTACAGCTAAGACTGTTCCAAAATGTTTTCTTTATATTTTTGTGGATTCCTGAAAGGGATCAGACCCTGTGAAGATAGCCGCAGATGGTACTGCGACCGCGTGGCGACATCGGCGTCGGCGTCCGCGGAGACTGCATCGCCGATCGCCCTGATTTCTTCAAGTTTGTAAGATTATTTCTCTGTCAAAGCAAGAAGTTACTAAAAAACAGACAACATCCGTATTGTTCAAACGAAAAATGAAACGGTTACGTTTGGAAACAATTTCAAAAAAAGCTACAACACGAGAAATTTTCCCGGCCTTTTCTCGGTAAAACTCTAGAATAAATCTCAATAGTTATCAAAACCCGTCTTGATGGAAAAAAATTGCTGAAAAGTGCACGAAATAGTGAAATATGTCATAAGCGAGTGAAAAAATCACGGCGCGTCGAAACAATCGGCAAACACAAACACAGGAAAAAGATACGCCTTTATTTGCACGTCTAAAAAAAAGAAGAAGAAAGAAGATGAGTAATTAATTCGCGGTGGTCATAGAGAAGCACAAAGTGGGGGAACCTGTCTGACAAGTGAAAAATATACCGGCAAAAAAGGGGATTTGAAACGAAGATCTTCCTTGAGAGATCAGAATGACTGAAATATGAAACATGTGTTTTTGTAAACTCGGAAAGTAAATAGAAAATTGAGAAAATGAATGTAAATATGCAGAAAAATGGGAAAAGTCTGAAAGTATTCAGAACGATCCTAGAGCTGAAAATGAACATTAAACTTGAAAATCTACGTCTCCTTCTCTTCTCACCTGCAATCGGTTCAGATTTCCAATAAAGAAAACTTTTTGCTACCCAGATTTTTGGAGCTTTTTTTCTAGAGATGATTAGACAGCGTTCATGAAGAACTCGGGATAGGGAATGAGTTTTTTAAGATGAATTTCCGCTTTGCAGCCAATAATCGGACATTTGACGCCTTTCCGCGATCCGACGTGCTCTTGGACCGACGATTCGTCGTAGACGTGGCCGCAGTTCTGCAGAATGAGTTCTATTTCTTTCAGTATGACACATCTGAACGGACCGGGTTTTTGACCGGATTCTCAATGTCTTTCTTCGTCAGTGGGTCTTTCTTACTGTAGGTGACGGTTGCCTGAAAAATAACTTCATTTATTCGAACTCCGGATCGTTTTTCCAAACATTAGCTTCAGACTTATCTTTATTGGGACAAAACTTTAAAGCTCTAAACATCTTCTTTTGCTCACTATTTCGCTCTTCTCATGAAAAACTTCGATAAATATCGGCTCAGTCTGAGCCTATTATTTTATCACCTTGAGAAAATTCTCGGCTCTTCTCTTCCTTTCTTTTTCTTCAAAAGAGAAAATAGAGCACAAGAATTCATCGAAACTCTCCCCTTTCTATTTTTTATTCGTTCTTTTTGGATTCTGGCAATTGGCTAAGTTGATTTTTGATAAAACTGACACATTTTTAATCGAAATAGAACCGAAAAGATGGTAGCCACCTCAATTTCCTCTCCGTTCAATCTCGAAGTAATCGTTTGGAACCTATCTTCCAGGACGGCAACGCCTTCAGCTTCGTCGTACGCGGTATCCCAAGCCTTTTTCATTTCTTCTTTCTGCAAAATGACCATTTTATAGCTTATTCCAGCGCCAGTTGAGCTTGTTGATTCATCTAACACCAAAATCATTGGAGAAGCAAAGCAAAATAAAGATTTTCTTTTCTATTTCATGGAATAATTTTCAAGCTTTGATTCCCTCCATCTTAGTTCATTTTCTCTGTGATCAGACTCATAAAAAGGTCAAATGAAACTTGTTGACGTACAGATGGGACGACGTCGTTTTTATGAACGGGGAGGTTGACGGCGCGCAATGTCTTGATGGCTTTCTCGATGCCGATGTCGATTTCCTTGAGCTTTTCCAACTCTTCGAGCAGATTCTTGGCCTGCTCGCTGTTCGCTCCGATCGTGTCGCATTGGGATGAGATCAGAGTGAGACAGGACTCAATGTAAGGTCGGAGACTCGTCAAGTCCCGGCCCAGCTCCGTGTATTGTTCGTCGTTCATGACTCGAGCGCCGCTCATGGTTGTTCTCCTCAGTTAACATAATATGTGTTTTAAAATAAAGTCATACCCAATGAACTGACTCATTGAATTAAAAAAAATTAACGAGTGGCTCGAAACTAACTAGAGAACGTTTTTTAGTCCCTGGTTGAACTTTTGATGAAACTTTATCTTGTTTTCGAGTTAAGACGCTAAAAGGCTTGAAAAAGCGCTCTTTTGGCATAATTTCTGTTTTTTGCAAAATTGAAGCTTTATAAATCGAAAACGAGATCTACTGGGAAGAATTTTCTTCTTATTCAGGAACCAAAAGGTCCTAAAGTACGATTCAGCGAAATTTTATCAAAAGTTCAACCGGCGGCTAAAAAACGTTTACTGGTAAGCCAAAATCGTAAGTTTCGGTTCAATCGTGGACTTCTCCGCTTGAAAACAGTTTCAAAATAGTAAAATCAAGTATTAATTTTTTGTTTTTTGGAAAAATCCTACTGTTTAATGGCCAATACCGGTTGAGAACTTACTCATTTTTTTCACCGTTTTTTTCGATTATTCTGACTAGAAAAAAATAAAGATATCACTTCGGAAAGGAATGAAAACTTCTGGTAAGTTCATAGAATTTGAAAATTTCGAAAAAAAAAGTTAGATGAAGAACCATATTCTTTACTAATTTTTGAAAATTGATTTTTTTTAAAAGCTCAAAACTAATTTAATTTCCTTGAACCCACACAGTTCCGTCATTTTTGGTTGAATAACAAAACAACGCAAAAAAAGTAATTAACTATCCTGTTTCACTTTAATTTAATCTTCAAAAGTACAGCTAAACGGAACAGATTTGTTCAACGTTCTATCCAACAAAACAAGATATAAATTGAAAAATACTTCATTGTTACAATACAAAATTTTTTGAGCATCGTATTAAGGAACCCGGTAGACAATCGATATTATAGGTACAACAATAAAAGCAGAGGCATAAAACATGAAAAGGGAAAATTTTAAGAACTCGGATTAGCAAAAAAAAATCAGCTCATTCGAGAATCAAAGGAATAAATTTGTGATTTGAAGCCAATTCTTGAAGCGAGAAGGTAGAAAATGGTATCTTTGTCGTGGCCGTAGTGCTTGGAGAGCATGAGGAGCATTTCGACGGACTTGAGAACTTTCTGCTCGCATTCGTCCACGTACTTGAGTGTCAGGGTGTTGGAGACCAGTCTGAAACTTCCTATCATTTGAGTTTCGTCAAAACAGGAAAAAATCTCTCAATCGTATTCTTAAAAGAGAAAACTTACTTGGATTAGTCGTCAAAAGGTGGAAATTTTTAACGAGTTCTTAATTTTTCTGATATTTTGGTTCAAATGCACTGGCCACTTTTTCTCGTTACTAGAGCCAATACATCTCAAGACAAAATTTTCTTATTATCAATGAAAGATTGAATATCGATATTAAATGGATACACTGGAAGCTGGAAAAGAAAGAAGAAGTTATTAAGCGGGAGTCGAACATGACCCTTTTAAAGAAAAAATAAATCGAGATAAACTTTGAAATTCTAATGAACATTTTAAGAACAAACAAGTCGAAAGTAATATAGTTTGCTTGGAAAATATTCGCTCTGGAAAGAAAGAGTTTAATGAAATAAGGCTATAAGACCTTAAACGAATGACGTCGGTGATGTTGACGTAGAGACTCATCGCCTCGTGAACTCTTTTCCGGAAATTAGCCTTTTCGACGAGCTGATGGAGCAGCGAATGAGCTTCTACCGAGGCTTTCTCGGCCTGAGCGACCGAAGTCGCCGTCAGAATCTTGTTCAACGTCGTCCGGTACACCCACCTAGCCTGGAAAAAGCTTTTTTTAAGCAAAACCCAAAGCAAAAAGATACTTTGTTGATGAAAAACTCTTTGAAATGCGAAACAATCTGTTTCAGAATGAAGACGACGAAGCGGAGGCGTTTGCGTAACGAAAAGTCGTCTTCGGAGAAGGCGCTGAAGATGGTAAAGTTGAAGTTTCAGAAAGTCTAGAAGAACTTGTTATGTTCTGTAATGCTGACGGCCGACGAGTTCAGAGAGCACTCGCTGGAGTTTCGGGACGGCATGCACGAAAGTCGGTCGATCAGGGAGCCTGAAGCGATATAACGGGTCAGATGGAGCCGCGGAGCTCACGGTCTGTGGAGATGGTGACGAGAGTCTCGAGGGTTCGATGGGCGGCGTGGACGAACCTCATGCACATGTTCATCACGGCGATGTGTTCCTCGCGGACGAAGTACGACAGGGGGCTGTCGATCTGCCAACTTCTCTTATAACTTTTGTATCTTACTTAAAAACTAAAAAATCAACAGTCGGATGTTTGAATCAGACTGGGAACACTAGATAAACATGATTGCCGAAGACCTGGAAGGTTGATAAAATTCAAAATTTTTTAGGAAAACTTGATTTTCAGTATGCAGGAGAATGTTAGCTCTACGTGGGCTAATTAGGAAAACAAACGATAACCTGAGGCCATTTTTCGTTCAGAAAGAATCGATGACATGAAAAAAGGAAACCTAATCTGATTATCGCGTCATTGTTGATGAACTGATCATCATAAGAAAAAATAACAAAATTATTTTCTCTGATTTCCGAAAAAAAACGTACTATGAAAGCAACGATAAAAGAGACTTCAAAAAAAGGACTTTTTTGCTTGGCCTGAGCCTTTTTTTGAAAACTGTGAGGTCCAGACCTTGCAAGTGAATTCGGCCTTCTCGGCGATCCACGAAAAACGCATCTGATTTTCGCTTGAGACACCGTGTCGCATCGCTAACCAGAAGGCGTCGGTGAAAACTCCCTGAAACCTCGGCATCATCAAGAAAGTACTCAAATAATGGTTACTGCAGCCGCGTGAGGCGTGAAAACCAAAGATGCGTACTGTTTGGCGACCTCGCCAATGGTGACTTGCTGAAAAAGTCTCAATTATACATTATCAGCTGAAGTTCAAAACCTCGAGGTCTTTCCAGAGTTGTGCGAACAGATTCCCCACAATGCAACTGCTCCAACAGCTCGGCACTCAGCTCATTAGTCAGGGCTTCCGCCGACGCATTGAAGACCTCGCGAAAAGTCGAAAACGGCATGATCCTGAATTACTGATTATTTTAAAAGGACGCCAAGTTGTCTGGACCCCTGACCACGAGGTGAAAACTTTCGCGCATCTAGAATCTCGTCAAACTTCGCAGTGAAGACCTTTTCTTTGTCTTCCCAAGTGCCAAGCCTAACGCAGGTCTGAAACTTCCAAGTTGGCAGTATACTTGAGATTTCGAAAGATTCCGAAGACCTGAGATCCTGCAAGAATCGTTTCAATCAGATCTCTGCTCCACAACGGCGAATTCGCCTGCTCTATATTCCGACACAAAAGTAAATCGGATCCGTTTCGACGTTCGCTGAAATTTTACCTTTATTCCAAACAGACAACCACTTTCAAAGAACTATATGTTGAGTCCTTTGTTATCTTTTTCTTTACTATCCTCCATGATTCTTTTAAAAAAATTGTTGAATGCAAAAAAAAAATTAATGAATAAACAATTTTGTGCATTGCAAATGACAAGATTATGATTAATTAAAATTGAACTTATTTAAAATGAGATGCCTTTTTGCAATATATTATTTATATTTGTAAAGTCGGCCAAAACTTCAATCATTTCTTGTGGAAAGTAATTATATGAAAAAATTCCATGATTGATTTTCCAAAAAAACTTTTAATCAAGCAATGAAAGCTGGAATTCCGAAGATATCTATCAGGCAATAAATCACAAAACAACGCGTTATCGCAAATTATCAATGTGCCCACGAAGAGATAACCGCCGCGCCCAGGAGATATGCAAATTAAGCGACTGTCCACTCATTTGCGAAACAGGTTCGGCGACAATGCGATTTTTGCCGCGTCTCCCAAAAATGACAGGTTGACAAGGCCGACGGCGATGATGCCCAGGAACCGCCTCTAACGGCTACATTTTTGGATTTTTGGGCTGAAACCAGACCTGAGACTATAAAAGGCGAGGCTTGGTGGCAGATGCCAAGCCGCCATATCGTTTTGCTTCTGACAAACGGAAATTTTCAGCCATGTCCGCCCAAATGGCTGCCTACGCGGCGGCGAGCATCGGAGTCTTCTCCATCGCTTGCTGTGTCATCTCCTTCCCGCTCATCCTCAGCCAGCTCAGCGACATCCGAAACGAGATGAACGTTGAGCTCGACGCTTGGAAGGTGAGATTCATTCCATAATCTTCTTAGATTACGATCAATATTCCAGTATGAGACTGATTCGTTGTGGAAGGACATGCAGAAGTACGGTCGCGTCAAGCGTCAATACGGCGGATATGGCGCTTCTCAGCCAAATCCTTCTCCACACGTGAGTTACACTATTTCAAAGTTTTCAAATTCGAGACCGCAGTCGACAGCATGTTTCTTTTTTCATGATTATTCTCGAAATGATTTTTTTAATAGAAAGTCCTCCCCCAAAAAATGCACATTTGAGAAATATTTTTCCAAGCCATGGTGTTACACTTAATTTTCTTCATCGAAAATAGTCTTCGATCAGATGCTGAGCGTGTTATTGATCGTCAGCCATCACGTTGAGTCATTTTTCAGAAGAAAATCTTCCCCATCCAAGCTTTTTCAAACATTTTAAAAAAACTCGATGCACTCTTTTATATCAAAAGATCGTCAATGAACTATTTCAGAACGGATTCCCAAGCGGCGGTCCTAATACGCCTAACAACTTCCCGGGAGTCGTCGGAGTGCCACCACACCCAGACTTTGGAAGCGAGCCAAACTCACCAAACGGACCTTCTGATCAGTGCAACTGCAATGCCGACAACTCCTGCCCAGCTGGACCCGCTGGACCAAAAGGAGCACCCGGCGCCGAAGGACCAGACGGACTTCCAGGAGTTCCTGGCGTTGATGGACAGGATGCGGAAGATGCCCAAGCTCAGACTCAACAGTATGGAGGCTGCTTCACCTGCCCACAAGGACCAGCTGGACCTCCTGGACCAACTGGAAAGCCTGGAGTGCGAGGAATGCGCGGAGCGCGAGGACAAGGAGCCATGCCTGGCCGCGACGGAACTCCGGGTGTGCCTGGATCTCTCGGACCAGTTGGACCACCTGGAGCCGTCGGAGAGCCAGGAGCTGACGGAGAACCAGGCCAAGACACCGAACACGCCATCGGACTGCCAGGACCAAAGGGAATCCCTGGACCAACTGGAGAGCCAGGAGACCAAGGACACCAGGTTTGTTTTTAGTCGTGATTGTTTGTTCTGATAAAACGATTTGTAGGGAGACACCGGAGCTCAAGGAATCGCCGGACCTCCAGGAGAGCGTGGACCACGCGGAGAGGCCGGAGACCACGGCGAGAACGGTCCAGCTGGAAACCACGGAGAAGACGGAGAGCCAGGAACCGACGCCGAGGTACAGCAAACCATGCCTCTCAGAACAACTGAACTTCCTTTCAGTACTGTCCCTGCCCTCAGCGCAACGGAAACGACGCCCCTGTCTCTTCTGGAGGCTACCGCAACCGTCATTAGGAACCCTTCCTACCAATCTTGCCAAGAAAATAAATTATTATTTCTTCAAAGCGTGGAAAGAAGAACAAACTTGAAAAGAACAAAATGGTCAGCAACTCCAGGAGGCACCTTCCCTAGGGTGTATATAGAATCCATGATCCGCAGGAGCATTTCGTAACATCGTTTTTGTAGGTCGGCGAGTTGCTCTCTCTGGAAAAGTCACTAATTTACATTGAATATGAAGAAGTTGGCAATGAAGACCTGAGGGAGCGGATGAAGACGTTGATTGGAAGTGAGAAGAAAGAGAGAAGTCCAGATTTCCTCGACGTCTTCCCACTTCCAGGTCCTTCGTCGGAGGAAAGAAGCCGTCACTTTGTAAATGAGGGACACTTTTTGCCATTGGTCGTAGAGACACGTTAAAACTCTCGGGGTATCTAAATATAATTATTCCTTATTTTTGCAGTGGCTGGACAGTTTAAAAAAGATAGGACCTCTCAAAAACTCCTTTGAATATTTTCTTACTTACTAAAAATTTCAGAAATTTTTGAAAAAAACCACTGGCTGAACTCAAAAAAACTTTAACCAGAAAAAAAAGTTTGACGCTATTTTATCTATTTTCATTCCAAGATCTTCCTATTTTCCATGAATGAAAATTTTCGATTTGTTTTTTCTTCAATTTTGCTCGACATTTGGGGCAAACCAACCTTTTAACAATCTTCGGCGTAATTTATCAACTTCAAACGCATGATCTCTCAAAAATTCTTCCACCCAAGCGCATATTTCCTGGAAATGAACAAATCAAAAAAAGGTTGTAAAGTTCAGAGACCGAAACAAATTACATGAATCTTTAGACTATAAATCATTTAGCTTTCTTCCAAAAGATTCCCCAGATTTCTCAATCAAAGTAAAAACCTTGACAAGAGGAGGCGTGAAAACATTTCCAACAACTTGGAGTCGATTGACAAAATCGCAAAAGCTCCACCAAGTGCCGGTGATAGGGCAAAATCGTCTCTCCGAGAGATCTCAACTGAAAAAAATGTTTCTGATAGAATCATGAGAATGAGAACAGGAAAATAAAAAAAAAACTTCGCTTAAAAATAATAAATTTTGTTCAAAATTTTTGACCGCAGGGCGTCTCAAACGTTATATTCCATTATCAAAAGAAAAAAAACTCCAAAGAAATTGACGACTTGTCATGAAAAATATTTAAAGGTAACAGTTTGAAGAAATTACAAAAAAAAAAGTCGAAATTTGCAAAAAAAAAGGAAATATTTTTTTGGGGGAAAAAAAGATTATGAAAAGCGGGACCTTGCTTGTTATTATTTTTTAAAAAAAACTTTATTTTCCCTTCAGGGTCATGTTCTGCTGCCTCAATAAATTGTTCGTCAAGAGTCATAACACGTTTAGCAAAAAAAAGGGCAAAGAAGCTCAGACGGTCTCTCAATTTTTTGTCTTTTCCCTTTTATATATTTTTCCGTATATTTTTGGAGCTCCATTTGGAAAACTCGCATAGGACTTCTGGATGGGACAGAGGAAGCTGGTAGGCGGGAAAGAATAGCGATCGTCGATTTCCAAGCCGCAATCCCCCACTGAGAACAGAGGCGGATCGACTGTGTCTGTGCAGATTCTCGACACGAACCGGTGCTGCTGGAAGTAAAAATAATTATTGAGACATTTTTAACTTTCTTCAAAGAATGAACTCAGCAAAAACTACGAAAAGTCATAATTAGGAGCTTTCGAAAAGTTTTTGAATCAAAATCACAAAGGAACCTTAGCCGGGAGATCCATGAAGTCAAGAAGATGTGTTACGAGCCGCGCTTCTGACAAGACCCATTGGTCGCCGCTGAAACAGGGATGAGATGAAGGTTAGTGGAAATTAATACCGCAATCGGTACTGATAGGCGCTGATTGAGAGTAGTTCGGCCCTTCGAAGGGAAAGTCGGGTGGAAAGTTCGGAGACATTTTTCGTCTCGGTAGTGGTTTCTCAACTGTACGAAGATATTTAATAAAATCCATAGGAACTTTCCAGAAGACTCCACATGTTTTCTTCACGGATTGCATCACAATACATGAAAATATTGATTCCAAAGGTCATCCTTGTTTTTAATCAAACAAAAAAAGTGCAAAAGTACACCTGTTGGCGGAAGGGCGGCGGGTCGCGTGGCGAACTGACGGAGAGCGCGGAATCTGAAAAAGTCGGCCGTTATCAGTCGGGAACACGCGACGCTTGTCACCGTCGTCGCTCGAGTCGCCGTTCCGTCGGTAGGTCTCCTCGTAGAACTTCTCCTACAGGTCGCGATCATCAACAACTTTGACCCGTATGCCTTTCTTTTATCGATTTTAACTTCACGCGAGATTGTAAACAACCGACTTCGAAACTTATTCTGTCAGTTCAAATGAGAAAACTTTCGATTATAAAGGAAATTTTTAAGGTTTCATAGTTAAATGCTATTTTAAGTGCACTTTCAAATTTAGTTTTTTATTTTAACAAAATGTTCGAACTGTTAACGAACCTCATACTGACAGTAGTCAAAGTCGACGCCGATGCCCACGTCTTCCTCGTCCATTCCTTCTTTTACCGCTTTTCGCAACATGACTTTTTTATTTACTTTACATTCAAATTCCTTCCATCAACAAAAATCTTCTACTCTGGAAAACGCCTTTGTGACAAAAGAAAACTGAACAAGTTTTCTTAAAGTAACGTTAACGGTTCACTATACCTACGCGAAACTTTTTTCTTCCAAGATTCAATAAATTTATTAGTATCGCAATAAACGAAAAAGTCGAACAAACTCAAGAAAAACAGCACTCCTAGAGGCGAATCGCCACGAACGAAACAAAGCTCAAAACGAGTAAACCTCTATTTTTAGATCTATGATAACAACCAACGACTCGATATAGCGCAATCTCGATTACCTAAACTTATTAAAAACTTACAAGAGAACGAAAAAAAAGATACATTTCGAAGAAAATTAGGCAAATATGTGAAGTGAAAGGGTTCCTGAAAATGACTAGTTTGACGAAATGCACGTAGAAAACGACAATGTCGTTGAGAAAAAGGCTCCGCATATATGTATCCTGAGCGGAGAGAGCACCAATTTAATTTTATACAAATTAAGAACATGAATGAGTTCGAAATCAGGGCGTGGTCGGAGAATCGGAGCGCAAGTACGACGACGCGAACTGTTCTAGATTCCGCAGCATGAAAACGGCTTTTCCTCTGAAAAAAACATATTTTTTTATAGATTTTTTTGAGAAGAAAAAAAGACAAACTTGATGCTCCCAAGGGTGCGGATAGTGGTGTCGACGGCGTCGATGGATTTTTTCTGTTCGTCGAGATCGTCTTTCATCTCCCGATGAACTCCAGCCACCGTCGCTCTCAGTCCGTCGAACACTTGATCCATTTCTCTTCAAAAAAATTCATAGATGAGCGAAAAACGGAAAATGTACTTTATAGCTTGTTCCATATAGCTTATTCCTTGGTAAAAAAAAAAGATCTGTTGATCCCTATAGCCAGAGAAAAGATTTGCTGAGAAGCTTTATCTTATTCGCAAAAAGAGCCAAAGATAAATCTCTATGAAGCATAAATAAGCTCAATCAAGAAGTTGATGATGATTGATGATGAACAAGGCCAAAAAATGAAAGCGCGTGAAGTAAGAAGGCTCATTGGACAAAAAAATTAGACCCAAAGTTTGACCAAAATGGACATTCTGATTATATGGAAATAACTAAGATTAAGGACGAATTGGGGCACAATGGTCTGCAAAATAAAATAAAATATCTTCTGCACGAAACCCAATTTATATTTCTGTTATAAAAACTGTCTTTTTCACAAACCAAGAGTCATAGGTTTCCATGAAAAACAATTAAATCCCTTTTTTTATTGCGAGATGCTCGATTATTACTACTTTGAAAAATTTGAAAGATGAAGAAAAAATGAAGAAAATTATTTTCGATTTGAAAGAAAAACCTCATGGCTTGGGTTTCGCAGTGGGTCGTGTGTGCAGCGGCGACTTGTTGCATTCTCGCGGCGAGATGCGATCTGAAACATCTCAAAATGCCTTGAAAGATCATCTCCATATTATTCTTGTTATGTATAAAAATAAACCTGCAATAGGTTTTTTTCAACTTCCTCCTTCAAGAACTCCCGTGAAATTTGATTTTTCCCAGCTTGTCGCTCTATTTTTAATGTAGTGTATTGGACTAGATACTTCAAACAAGTGAGCCAAAGACGCAAGTTAAGCAAATCTTTTATTTTTTTTGAAAAGTTTTGAGGCTTGCTTGGTTGACAAATATTTCATTTCTAGGAACTTCTTGATCTTCGAACAGCCATCTCAATCCCGTTAACCAAAATTCAATGGATTCAATTCAAAAGCGCGGTCCTGCTCACCTGAACTGCTCCTTTAGGTGTTGCTCCCTGGCACTCGAGTTCCACCGGAGACGCTCCCACGCGTAGAGACCAGCATAGGCAGCTCCGCCGACGGCGATGACCTGAAGCCCGAAGAAAGTTAGAAGACGTCGCAAGCTGAACTGACTCTCCAGCCGACGGCCTTGTAGACGATCCCGCCGACCACCAGAAGACCCAGACTGCCGTTGGCGAGGTAGGAGGCTGAGGTCAGCACCATCTGCGTCATCATCGCCTGCTCTTCGGCCGCCTGCACCGCCGCTTCGTCTCGAACTTTCAGCTCCACTTGCTTGTTTTTCTGAAAAAAGTCAATGGATAGTTCAGGAGATAGAAGTTTTGGGTTACGTGAATGTGCAGAATGGGGGCAAACGGTACAGAAAGACAGTAAAAAGAGGCGAAATCGAAGTTTTTGGGGTTTTTTTTTTCGGGAAAGTGATAGGAAGCAAAAGTTCGTCAAAAAACACTGTTACCGAGAAAGGCGACAAACTTCGAATATGTCGCGTCTACAAAATATTGAGCTTTGAAACATGCGTAGGACTTTTGATTAGTCTATAAAACTGCTGACAAAAAAGTATTTCAATGCTGAAAAACAGTCAAAAATTTGAACAATTTTTTAAATAGCAATTATACTTACAAAAAAAGGAGCCTAAGAAAATCAACTCTTCACGCAGAATATTTTATAAGAATTATGTAAGATTCCTTTTTCCTTCGAAATTTTTTTTTTTCACCGCTAAAGTATGTTGTGACCTATTTTTTCTTACCTAAATAAAAAAAGTGTGCTACGATGCTACGAAAAGGACGCGCTTTTTTTCTGATAGCTTCTCTGCTTTTTATTAAATCAGAATGGATAGTTAATGCATTTTTAATCGCTTCCAGCCGTTATAATCCATTTCGAAAAAAAGTTTAAAATAAAAAAAGAAGAAAAAAACTCTGTTTGTCGGAGCACCACTTCAGGTGTATCTAGTACTCTTTTAAACGAAAAGAGATCTTTTATTCTTTTTACGAGCATTCTTCATAAGTTTTGAAGAGAAAGCAATCTTCCTGAACCTTTTCTTCTTCCATTTTCAAACCGAAAGACGTACCAAAGCCATCGGAGTGAGAAGATTCGACTGGATCGCCGTCACAGGCTGTCCGCTTCGGTAGGCGATGATTCGCCGTATTATCGCGTGCAGACCAAATGTGAATCGGAACTCCAAATCCTCGTGGAAATCCCTGGAAGTCTCGGCTTTCAGTGGGGACAGGAAATCTCGAGTTTACTTCGTGAGAGCGGGGACATCGACGCAGATGCTGAACTTGAAGGGAGCTCGGTAGCGCCAAACTTCCTCCAGCTTGTGTTGGTACGGCTCGGCTAGGATTTTCGTCACGTACTCTGAGAACCGAAAATCAAAAAGAGACAGCGCAATAGTTCAAGTGATATTTGACTCTTTAAGAGGTCTTTTTAATAAGTGAACCACAAGAAGTGCCACACTTCTGATCTAATAAAAACGATCAAAACTTATTGGTTAAAACGATAAAAATCGAAAAAAAGAAGAAGAGACCAAAATATGAAGAGAGTAGAAGATAGGAACATGGATAGTTAAAATTATTTTTTTTTGTTTCAATTTTAGCTGCTCAACTTCAGTGAGAACAGTGTTTGGAACCTCTATAATGCATATAATGTCAAAACTTTTGCTGTTCTTCTCCAAAATTCCGACAAATTCCTGGTAGGTGTATGATAAAAACTTACGGAACATGTCGTTTTCGAGATTCCAAATCCTGGACATCAGGCCTCCCGTACAACGAGCTTCGAGATCGGTACTCAGACAATTGTCCGTGAACTCTGCGAGTTCCTGAAGCCTTTTCACCATTTTACGGGATTCGAAGGCTCACAAACCGTCTTATATTTGGCAATTCCATCAGATGAAGCGTTGAAAGGCTCATTGAATCGGTCAATGATGGATTCCAGGCGAGCGATTTCCTCGAAGAAATCGGCAGACACCTCAAGAGAAAACTGGTTATGAACAAAGATAAAAAGGCTATAAATGAAAGAAAAATCTAATCCGGAGTGGTTTCAAGTGCGAAAAGTAGGAACTCCGTTAATTATCGGAAAAGCCACCTTCAAATGAACTTCGGCGCGGAGCCTTTCGGTCTGCTCCCGATAAGCCTTCTCGAATTGCGAGAAGTTGACGCGACACTCGTTGAAAATTCTTGTCGACTCCTAGAATTGGTTATCTAATTACGGTTAGAAAGAATAAATAAACGTTGAGTTCATTTTGAAGCTTATCCCTTTGAGAACCAGCCGCCGTGAGTACGGTATTCAAGTTGAGACGCATTTTTGCAATGATTTCGTGAGCTCTCCGGTTGTGCGCTTCAAACTTCGTGTGGATAGCGGACCTGAAACAGATATCACTAGTAGACGTGGTCGATATCATCAATTAAAAAAAACTTCAAAACACGGTTCTTCTCTTTTTTTCAATAAAGAAGGTTAAAAAAACTACTTTCAATAGTTTTCTTATTGAGAAATAGTCAATGAAAGTTATTCAAAGACTTTATTTTTATGTATTTTTTTCATTTCACATTTCATGCTTCGAATAAAAAAATTGTGTGGTATTCAGAAAGTAGTTTGAACCCATCGAACTAGTTCTGGTAGAAAGTATGGGTCAAAAACAAAATGGGATCTTTGCAAAACAAGACGAAAAACTTTTTAAAAGAAGAGTTCGGCTCAAAGCCCTATTATTAAGCACAAGCTTCACTTGTGACCACACTTCGATACTTCCTTATGCATCATTGAGTAAAATGCTGTTCTTGTAGAAACAATGAAATGAAATTGAATATGATCTAGAACTGAAGAGAGAGAAAAAAAACATACAAAACAGACTTAAAATGAAGAAATAAACCAACTTTGAAATACATTGTTCGAAATGACGCTCGAAGTTGGCGAATTCGAGTGCTCTGGTCGCGTGGCCGTCCATCTGATACGCCTTTTGGGCCAAGCCCCTTGCTTTCAACCGAGATTCCAGAATCTGCATTTTTCGTTCAATCTTCCTCGTCGACTTTCTTTCAAAGAAAAAGGAAAACCGACCTCTCTGGAAGAAACGAAGAAAATGCGGTCGTTGACTTCTCTGTCGTTGCAAACTTCGAGTTCGTCGACGAGAAACTGCCGAAAACGAACCATATGCTGCTTTTTCACCTGGAAGGAAAACTCATAGGTGTTTCATCATTGTGAAAAATGAACTTCGTCAATATTTTCCATTTCGGCCGCACTCGCATCCCAGCGATTGTTCAGTACGAAAACGTTCGGCTTACTCAATTTTTTCGAGACCCGATGGAAAAAGTTTTTCTCCTGGAAACAATAAAATTGGAAATTTTATCAAATCTTGAAAAAACCGCTTGAGTAAGTGTGGCTTCGGCGTTGGACACGAGGACAAAGACGTCGGCGTCGAGACAATGTTTGTCGATCCAACTGTCGAATTCTGGAGATAAGTCGACGCCGGGACTGAAAAATCAAAACAAGGCTAGACTGTAACTTTGAGCAAATCCATAAGATGCATGATACAAATTTGAAAATATCCTTATGATTCAACTGTATATATATATATATATATATATTTTTCTTTTCAGCTAAATCATAATATTAATTTTTGACAAGTCTATGATGTAATGTATGTGAAAAATGTTCAGATGAATAAGGTATATGCCACAAAAGAACTGTGGAGAACTCGAAAAATTAAACCCAAAAAATAACTGTCCAAGCTTCTGAAAAAAAAGGATACAGAGACCCGTAAATCTCTAGTTTCGTTTATTTGAAGCTTTAGAAGTAAGTATCACAGACGAGGATGTTCTTCCATACGAAAACAGAAACCGATAAGTGTCTCTAAAGGTAGCGACCGCAAAGCCCCGCCCCTTTTCGCGAGGGAAAAAAGGCCATTTTTTTGGTATTCCGTCTTTGATTGTTTCGTACAGCCGATAGAAACAATGAAAAATGATGAAAATTTCAGCATAAATGTAGAAAAGGTTCCTCTTTCCGTTGAAAAGGTTTTTAGGTAATTTCCATGTGTTTCAACGGAGTGTCGTACGGAATAGTGAGGCGAGTTCGAAAAATAAACTTAATTTTGCGTTTTGATATTCATCTAGGTCGCGGACAAAGTTGATTTTTTGAAAACTACTTATAAACAGTAAATGAAATTTTTTTAAGCCAATAAAATAAAAAAATTCTATGATCGCCGAAAAAAAATTGAGAGGCGCGCAAAGTCAAAAATTGTTTTTCTCAATTGCAATACAGTATTGGAAGGTTTTTTTATGCTTTTTTTCATATTGAGAAAAAAACATTGCTCAAATAATACTTGTTGACAACTACAAGAAAAATGTACTGTTTTTGAGTGGTAAAAAAAGGTGGAGAATTTTTTTGGGAGTAATTTTTGAAACATTTCCCGGTCGTAGACACGCGTTTTTTTCTTATTCATTTATAAGAGTTTTTCAATTTTTCAAACAAATAAAGCAATAAAATCGAAAAATTCAAGATCGCCGAAAAAAATTTTTTTCTCAACAAAAAAAGGTGAATAAAAAGTAGGCGAAATTACATTTTTTATGGGATTCAAAGAGCACTGTAGGCTGTATTTGTGCAGTCACTGAGACGAAAATGATGGTAAAGTGGAATTACAGCTCGTAAAACCTTCTCTTTTGGCTCCTGAAACCGTGCCGACCTTGCAAATGAGGGTGCGCGCAGATTGCATGAGAATTCGCAAAACCAAAATTTCTCAGGCACTGACGGCGCGTGTTTGTTGCCAAAAGTGCGCATGCGCGCCTGCCTGCGCGCACGCGCGGGGTGTCTCTCTTGTTTTTTTAGCTTTTTTTAAATAACTGAAAAGTTATAAATTTAATATTTTTTTCATGTCTATTCATCTCTTATCATTGCTCTGCACCAGTTTATACCAATTAGATTGCACAAAAAAATATGAAATATCAAAGTTTCACTTGGCAATTTTTTCATAAATTTGTTCGAAAAATGCTCGGAACAACTTTTTAAAAAGTGAGCAGGGGCACTGGGTAGTTTCACAAAAATAATAAAAAAATATTTTTTTCAAAACCGTATTTCAGTGGAAAAAGGGAAAAAAAGAATCAGTACCCCCTGCGCGTGCGCGCACCAGTGCCTGAGTTCAGTGCAAAAATTTTTGCTTTTCAATTACTTTTAAATATTGTTTTCTCCTCTTATTCTTAATATTTTTCGTTTTTCTTTTCTGTTTTCGCATACTACATGTTAAAATCATTATTTTTATAACAAAAACGAGGAGCTAGCTTGAGTTCGAAAAATAGGTCTGTGGTCCCTATCTAAAGGAGAGAAATGCGAACGAACCTGTCCAATATAACTACATCATTCTGAAGCAATCGATTCTCGCTCTCCTGACTGTGCTTAGGATGAAAAACTCTGGAAAAAATAGCTAGAAAAGAAAGAAGAACCATTCGAAACCTCAATAAAGAATCCTGTCCCATAGCGGGAAGTTCTGAGTTGTCTGAACTGAGAGCATGGCCCATCTTCCCCAACATTGAGATATCTATCCGCTGCGGATTGTCGTCCAGCTGCAGATATCCCACATCCTCATCACAGCCTTGCACCTGAAACTTCATTAATATATTTTCAGAGAAACCACGAGAAAACCTGAAGGAAACAACAGGTAGTGTGGCCCATTCCTTGGGGTAGCACTTTTTCGTGAAGCATTGCATTTACAGTTGTGCTTTTACCGTTACTTGTCCTAAGAAGCAAAGTAATATCAAAAGAAAAAAAAATTCGAAACCTTCCGAAAAATACAACTTTCATGTTGTCGCGTTGAAAAGTTTCCATTATAGTCCTGACGGATTCTTTCATCGCATCGATTTCTTCTCTCTGTGGAGGAGCCACGATGTCGTCGCCTTGTATACCTCAAACCCGCCGAAAATTCTCGAAATACACAGTCTCTTCTAACCATTGTAAACTCCTTCGAGCTCAGTTATATTCTCCTTCAGCTCTCCGTATACTTCTCCAAGAACCTTCTTCGCTTCTCGGAAACGTAGCAATGGCTCAGCATCGTTGGCGTTGCGACGAGGGGTTTTTACTCAAAATTTTTAATTCCAACAATTAGCGAGAAAAGAAACATACAGCTGTGCAATCCTCGATGGCCGTTCGCGTCGCCACTCGCCCCATTTTGAACTAAGCTTGTAGCACCAGACATGTGCAAATGTCTGAAAAAAAAAACTTTGAAAAATATGTTTAATCTCAACAATTTCGTCATAGGCATTATGTAAAAGAATGAAACACCTTTTTATGTTTCAATAATTTTTTTGATTTTTTTCGTTCACTTTTAAAAAAACCAAAAAAAATGATTCTCGGATATATTACATTTCTCTGAATTAATATAGCATTTTTTTCTAAGAAAAAGAACAAAATTCAAAATTGAGTTCAAAGAGTCATTTCAAAGAGCGATAGTAGAAAGAGGTTGAAAAATTCAAAACTTTAAAAATTTTTTCAGAATAATATAACGCATCATTGATAACTTTGAGCGTATTTGAACACTTTGATGTCCGAAAAAAAAAATTAAAACAAAAATTTTGAGCATTTGCGCGTGAACTCGCAGGTTTAGTCTTCACACACGTTCGGATGGGCAGATTTCAGACCCTACCGTAGTGAAGCTGAAAAAAAAGAACCTCAACTGGTTACGCCATTTAATAAGTCCCAGATGAAGCAGTTCAGCTTTGTAAGTTAGATATAAATTAAACCAAAAAGCTGAAAGACCTGCAACTTCGTTTTCTAAACAAAAGTAAACTTATTATGATGCAATTTTTTTCCCGAAGTTTCGAAATACAGTTCATGCGGTTTCTCTTTTGAATCAGCGTTTTGATACACCTCGGAGTGTTTCGTGAGGTTTTCCTCCATGATCATAGGTGATGTAATAGCATTAGTGGCTGCGACTTGAGAGACCAGTGATCGACGGAGGCCAATGACTCAAGTCGTGCTGTTGTGATGTTCTCTTGTTGTTGCGCCCTCCGGCAGCTGTCGCGAAGACCTCTTTCGATACCATCCGTACAAAACACCCACGGAGATCTACGAAAGTTAGAGACGAAAAAATGATGGGAAGCTCAGGAAACCATATCCAACTAAAAAGTTTTCGACGGACGACATTTTAAAAGTTTTGAATGAAAATGATAGAGATGGATGGAAGTTATGATTTAAATATCTCTGAGATATTTGAGCCTTTTTCAGGATTGAGAGTTTTCGATATCAAGGTTTCTCAATTTTTCAAAATGTCAATGTAAAAAACAAAGTATAAGTTTTCGCTGAAAGTTTTCCTTCAAGGACTCCCACCCAATAACGAGTTAGGCTGTTTCAATGGTTGCCGAAAGCCCCGGAGCCTCACGTCAGTCGTAATATAGATAGAGGTGCACAAAGTTCGTGGATTCATCTGTGATTTGTTTGTTTACATCAAGCTCGAAGTTGTGGCCAACACATTTGTCTTGGCAGTTGCCCGCCCTTTGGCTCCGGCTCCTCGGAGTCACTCTAAACGGCTTCGCTGCCATTCGCCGGTTCTCACTTTCGAATCGAACCCTCGGCGCTTCTTTTCCTTTTTCTCAAATCAACTTCTCATAAAATATGAAAACATCTCTTGTTCATGGCTTCAGGCCCATTTTCGCAATTTCCATTGAAATAAACTTCAGCTATGAAAACCGTGGTGGTTCTTTTGTGCTGTTTACAACTGGCGTTGTGCCAAGGAGATCCCAAAGACTCCAAGGAGGTCAACTACAAAAAGTACATCGGCGAGCAGGTCTACGTGAGTCTGAAGCGACATTTTCCCCTACCACCTCATTTTCCAGAATCTTCCTTTCAAAACGCGAGTCAGCGAACCATTCGTCGTCGGTCAGACCATCCACGCAGTCGGAACCTTGAACGAGAAGCCCACGCGGTAAGAATCGACTTTTCCATGAGGTTTCTGAAAAAACTGTTTAATTTTCAGTGTCGACTTCAACTTCCACAAAGGAGCCGCCAAGGACGCCGACTTGCCTCTTCACTTCTCCATCCGTTTCAATGAAGGTATTGAGAAAAACTGAATATCTTGATCCATCTGGATTTCCAGGACTTCTTGGATCAGGCAAACTGGTCTATAACACCTATGAGAACGGCAACTGGTCTGAAAACGAGCAGCGCATTTCCAACCCATTCAAGGCCGGAGAGGAGTTCGACCTCCGCGTCCGCATCCTCGAGAACAAGTTCCAGGTCTGTATTTCTGTTTGGTTTCCACAAAGTTCCGTGATTCCAGGTCTTCGCCAACCGCAAAGAGGTCGGCACCTTCGAACAACGACTTCCTCTTGACGGAGTGCGTTTTAGAATAATTAGTCGAGATGGAAAAAATACTACAGATTGACCACGTCTCTATCCGTGGCGACCTCTTCAAGCTCCGACTTTTCCACTACGGAGGCAGAATCTTCCCAAATCCTTACATGGCGGTCGCTGAGCTTCTTCCCGGCAAACGACTCGACATCTCTGCCCTGCCAACCGGCAAACGCGTCAACATCAACCTCTATCGCGAGAACAAAGAGTACGCTCTCCAGGTGTGGAAATCTATCCATTCAGGAGAAAAAAAAAAGAATTTTCAGATTTCTCTTCGCTATGGAGAAGGAGCCATCGTCCGCAACGCGATGACCAACAACGTCTGGGGCAAGGAAGAGCGTGAAGGAACTTTCCCCCTCACCAAGGGCGAAATGTTCGTTCTCATGTCTTCCTAGTACTTATTCTATGGTTTCAGCTTCGACGTCACCATCATCAACGAGGAATTCTCTTATCAGATCTTCGTCAATGGAAAACGGTAGTTTTCACTTAGCATGAGTTGTGAAAGAAATGTTTACTTAAGATTCACGACGTTTGCTCATCGCGGCTCTCCCCGTGACGTCAAGACTCTGGAGATCGACGGAGACGTCGAAATCCACACCGTCACCATCAACGACGCTCCGGGCATCTAAACCATATCTTCCCTTTTTTGTACATCTGAATTGTCATTTCTATGTAAAACTTATAATATAAAAATAGTATTATTTATTTTTATGAACTCGTGAAAAAAACAACAAAGAAAGCAAGATGAAAAAAAGACACCAATCAGTTCAAAAGAATCGTCTTATTCGCATAGAGATTTAAGAGAAGAAAAAAATGGCTGAAAAAGTTTTTCTTTCAACAAAAAAA